GCGAACGCTTTGACCACTAGGCTACCCCACCGCCCCTCTTCGATATGACAATAGTTGATGATCATAGGCCATAATTCTTTGCCCAATGGCAAATTGTTTCCTTTATTGAGACAGAGTTTGTTTTGAAGCACTAGCAGTAAATTAGAAAACAACAGCATAGTATGGTTTTAGACAGTAGACATCGTGGCCATACTAGTCAGATTGCGTTGATGTAAGATCTGGCAAATGATTCTTGTGGAATGTGAGATGCGAGTCTGCAGGCGCCTTCATCATTGAACAAGCTGCCGTTGGTACATCACCTGATCTGACGTCCTGATTGTATGGTGTTGATTGCACTTACCTTATAGTCGCAGTTAATTGAACAATAAACACGTATCTCTCCGCGCAGGCTATCGCTTTGTGTTTTAAAATATATAATTTTGATAGAAACAAAGAATTTTAAAAGAGAGTCCAAGTGAACTTGTTACAAAAACGCTATTAAAATCTAGGGTCTGAACATGGCGTTCGAACGCAACCAAGAAATGCCCTAGTTTGTACTGTGTTACAAAACGATATGGGTCATCTCGTCCTTGACATAACACGTCTATCCGAGCCTCCACTGTTCTCGCAAACACTGCTGATAGCGGGTTCATCTATATATATCTGTATTGTATTATGCATATTATCTGAATATAAAGTCATTGATGAGAGATATTGTATTCCAATATCAAATCTCAAAGGATATAAGTTTTGTTTAGGTACGTAGTCTCTAATCAAACTTTAACATGAAGCTGGAAGAAAGGTTGGATAGCTTCAGCAGTTTTGAATCCCATCAAAACCATGACTTACCAATTTTTGCTTCTCAATAATGCCAAAAATAACTATCGGAAATTATATGTTAAGTAATTTTTCTGAAAGTCCGACGCAATTGAGCATGATCAAAGCCTATGATTTAGGGAGTGAGGTTTTACGCCGCTTTTAGCAATAATCCAGGAATATCACACCGGGGGACACAAGGATTGTGCTTCACACACTGTACCCATGAGGTGAGTCGAACCCTCAATGCCGATGACATACCACTACGTTTTCAACGAGTGACTCAGTAGATGACTGACTGACTGAGTTTGGTTTTACGCCACTTTTAGCAATATTCCAGCAATATCACGGCGGGGGACACCAGAAATGGGCTTCACTCATTGTACCCATGTGGGGATTCGAACCCGGGTCTTCGGCGTGACGAGCCAACGCTTTAACCACTAGATTACCCCACCGCCCCCTCAGTAGATGAACAATCTCTAGACCTAGACTGGAAATGGGTGGTATATGTTAATGTATATTAGTGCTGTGTAGGTAGGGTGAGCACCCAAGTTCAAATTGGCCTTCAGTAACCCATGCATGAGTGTCGTGAGAGGCGACTAACGGGATCGGGTAAGACTCACTGACCTGGTAGAAGCATTTACCATGCCATACTCATGATGTCAATCACTGGATTGTCTGTTCCAGGGTCCCGATCCACAAAGCATTCGTAGCGCTACGATATTCGTAAGCCAATGTTAAACTATAGAATTACGACAGGTCGTAACGTTACGAACGCTTTGTGGATCGGGGCTCTGATTCGATTATCAATAGACAACCGTCATTGGCTGGAATATTGCGGCGTCAAACAAATGTAATATGGCGTTAGCCTGTATGAATATCATCACATACTACGTGTCCGATTCACGGTAGATCCTAGCACCTTGAAAAATAAAGTATAAATGATACGTCAAAAAGTCAGGAATTGAGTGTATGTTAGATTCCCTTAGCGTGTCACGTGATGTTGATCACTGGATTGTCTGACCCAGACTCCATTATTTACACATCTCCACGGATAGATGGAAGTCTAGTTTAAACAATGAATTAGTGTATGTTGTGAAAACAATGACGCCAGACATGATTTCCAAACTGTGCTATTTTTTTCAGAGAATGTTATTGTCAAAACGTGACATGCATTGACATACACTGAAAAGATAATAAGTGTTGAACAAAAGGCCAAGCCCTTCGTGGCTATCAGCTTAGAATAGAAGCATCAGAAGAAAAAAAACAACTGCCGAAAGAGACACATGAAAGAGACGCGAGGCAAGTGCAGACAGGGACCAGTGTGAAGTGAGCTTGAGTGATTGCGTCACGTGCAAGTAGTGACGGAATATCGTTGTAAATAGTGCGTAAAAAACTTGTGATGTCATACAAATCTGGGTGAAAAGAAAGACTGTGACCGGGCCAGCCGTTATGTCTCGGACTGATATACTTATCTTTCAGAGATATGGAAGTCGGTCGTATGACATTACAACCTCTGCACAGTCTGGCTGATATAATATGTACGAAGCATGTGTCCCTCTCTCTCTCTCTCTCTCTCTCTCCTCTCCTCTCTCTCCCCTCTCTCACACACACTCTCTCTCTCACTCACTCACTCACTCACTCACTAGGGGCATCGCAGCACCAATGATTTTTCATCCACATGCCCAAAGACATTCATATCCATATGATAGTTATGCATTGATTGTAGAAATGCATGCGCTATGATCAAAATATTTCAGTGTGATTTTTTTTCATATGAACCCAGTTTGGCGCGAGATTTATCAGATTTGTCGTAAGAGCGTGACATGATTAATAAAAGCGTGAGTTGGCAGGTATGCGTGCAATAAGTGTGCCCATCATTAAGTGAGGTGATGTGAAATTGGGTTTAACGTCGTACTTGAGAATATTTCGCTCATATGACGACGTGCATGCGTGTGTATGTGTATGTGCGGCTGCTTGTACTTGCCCAGACTTAAGATGGTTTTATAGTGCTAGCCCACTGAGATACCATGCCGCAGTGAAGCATGACTACCCCACTCAGACACATTATACTGACTCCGAGCCGACCAGTCCTTGTTGTACCCTTTAATGCCGAGCGCCAGGCAGGGACCAACAAGTACCATATGTTAACGTATTTTGGTATGACGCGGTCGGGGATCGAACCCGCGACCTTCCGCTCTCCGGGCGGACGCTCTAACCACTACACCACGGAGGCGGTCCTACCCATCATTAAGCAAATATCAAGTTTCAGTAAACTGTTCTAGCAGCTCAGTAACTTGGAAAATCCGTCGTTGTGACAAGCAAATATTGGGCCCCCTCAACTGACAACTACTCAAAGATGGCACGTTATTCGTGTGGGGAATGTTGTGTCATTTAAGGTGACTCGAGCCGACCAGTCCTTGTTGTACACATTAATGCCGAGCGCCAGGCAGGGACCAACAAGTACCATATTTTAACATTTTTAGGTATGACGCGGTCGGGGGTCATTTAAGGTAATTGCAAGAGATGTTGGTCGCCATCCATCGACTGTCACCCGACTGGCCAGAAAATATCAGCAAACTCCCATAACAACAGTGATGCATCTACATCGTCGTTTGTCCAGTAGAAACGTCCGAAATCGCCTTAAAACGGTCAGGTAAAGGCCCGTACGACCAGTTGCCTCATCGAGGAAGCGATGGCTGAGTGGGTGAGATCTCTGACTTTGTGTGCTGGCGATTAGGTGTCTGACTCTGAGTGTGGAGTGTGGATTCGAATCCTGCGTTCTCAACCCAACATATACAGCAAGATTATTCGTTGTCAAATTTGCAGATTTTGAATCCATAACACAGATTGCTCTTCAAGCAAACGCAGCAAGGAATAACAAAGAAAAGCAGCAGAGAACATCAAAATAGATTGAATCAGATGTTACTGTCACAACGTTGGACAGCTCGGTCATTAAACAGTTTCTTTACTCGTAAATATATTAGAGTGTATTAAGAAATTGAATGCAAAGAAAGAAGAACGTTAATACCTTGCGCTCGGCCTTCTTGTTGAGTTCCACTCTCCTCTACCTACAGCCTTCCCCCAAGAACTGACACGGGAAGGATTGACTGACTGACTGAGTTTGGTTTTACGCCGCTTTTAGCAATATTCCAGCAACATCACGGCGGGGGACACCAGAAATGGGCTTCACACATTGTACCCATGTGGGGATTCGAACCCGGGTCTTCTACGTGACGAGCCAACGCTTTAACCACTAGGCTACCCCACCGCCCCTGACACGGGAAGGAAGCAGTTGAATGTGCAGTCGGTAGGTTCTGATTTCGAGTCGGCGGAATTAAATAAAGCTTTTTTTTATTTTCGAGGTCAGAGGCCAAACTGCAAAATAACAATGCTCCCCTGTAGAAAAGTGGTATATTATACCTTATTTTTTCTTTGTTACAAAATAAATAGTTGTCGGGGTATTTTTCAATGAATCATCTAGCCCGTGAAGGTTCGGGTTAGAATGAACCTTCAGTAACCCATGCTTGTCGTAAGAGGCGACTAGTTAACGGGATCGGGTGGTCAGGCTCGCTGGCTTGGTTGAGACATGTAATCGTTTCCCACTTGCGCAGGTCCATGCTCATGCTGTTGATCACTGGATTGTCTGGTCCAGACTCGATTATTTACAGACCGCTGCTATATAGCTGGAATATTGCTGAGTGCGGCGTAAAACTAAACTCACTCACTCAATGAATCATCTTCGAAGAAAGGAAATTGTCAACCTAGATATACAGTACATCTCACATGCTATATTTATTTGCACGGAAACGTATCAAAGTGTAAATATGTCAACAAAAAGACAATCTGTGCGATATCAGATGCAAGTTTATTAATGGGAAGAAATAGAAAAAAATCTGAGAAACTATTAGTAACTATGGGCTTCATAAAAACTCTCTCAGTAGTAAAATGTAAAATGTGAAATGTTTACTACTGATGCCCATATTTTTTCTATTGTTTGTTTCCTTAACTGTATACAATATTCAAGGACTGTGCGTCTCGAACGCAACAATTTTTCATTCAAATGCTTTGGTGTAGAATAAGTACACGAAAAGACAAGTTTAGAGTTATCTTTCCCTGGGTTTACAACGCTTCAACTGTACAGTTCTTCTAGTAAACGCATGCGCTGGAGCTTATCCGTAATCAACAAAAGCTTCTTGAAAGCACACACCGAACCTAGTTTCGACTCACTTTGGGAACAATGGCGTCGGTAGCTAAACCCGAGAAAGAACAACCAGATAAAAGTGTAAATAGTAATGGAACCAAAACATTTGGCGACAAACCAAAATGTTTTGCAATCGAGGAAGGCGGAGAGGCTTACTACATCGGTTCAGAGGTACATTTCAGCATAATATTGCATGTTTACAACCTCTCGTTTACCGTGTGTAATTTACCGGCACAACACAATCGCCTTCTTTAAACACTGACTCTTTCTATCTTTGATCCCAGTTTTAGCTTATGATAAACCTTTTGAGTCTTTTTGCTGTAGTAGAAACCGATACACGTTATTGCTTGTAGTATTACTTACGAAATCAGTTATGTTTGATTATCTGGACACTCAAAATTAGCTATTTTTGGCACAGCTAGTTTGGTCCCTACTGAATTTAAAATTAGCTTATGTCCTCGAGGTATTTTTCCATTTATAAAATAGTTATTATTCAACAGTACAGCATATGGAAAGATTTCCGCCCGTAACCCCCGTATATTTTTAATCATTATAATTATATTCCTAAGAATATACGCCTATGTTTTTTTTAAACAGCCTGTACCTAAACCTAACCCTAAAATCTAACCCCAATCCTAACCCTAAACCCACGAAATAATCCTAATAAATAGAATACATTTCAAGCGGGGGTTACGGGCGGAACGCTTACCCAGCATATATAGCGTAAATGGTTGAGGCTGGCTGGTATGGCTGTAAAGACTTCACATACTGCATCAATTCTCAGGGCTTGTGTTTGGGTTGTCTTAACTCTATCTTTAGCCTGCGAATTCCATATCAGATCAAGCATCCCTTTCCATTATTTTGGGAAACTTCCAACAATTTGTATCTAGTTTTATGAAAATGACTAATGCATGTGTGCTTAAAGGTAAACATTGGAGTATGTGATTGATGACTTCATGAACAGGTTCTAATCATTTGTAAACATGTGTAAAAGTAGTCGTCGTCCTATGGTAATGTGTTAACTTATATGATTAAGTCTTTAGCCAAAAGCATAGCTTCAAGATGGCAGTGTAAGTTTGATCATCCAAACACACTAATTGAAACCTGAAAAAAGTGCACTATTCGTAGTTATTATGAGTGAGTGAGTATGGTTTTACGCCACTTTTAGGAATATTCACCAATATCATGGCGGGAGTCACAAGAAATGGGCTTCACACATTGTGCCCATGTGGGGATTCGAACCCGGGTCTTCGGCATGACACGCGGACGCTTTAACCACTAGGCTACCCCACCGGCCCCCAAGTTATTATGACATTAACATGACATTACAGCTTACTATAGTTGAAGGGGGCATTGCTGACATGGGTACTACGTACCCCAGGTATACAGGAATATACACAGCTAAAGTTACAATACAGAGCAGTACCCATACTCTAGCATGTCTAGACTATGGATGAGTCTGTATTCATATGACCCGTGAAGATCCGGGTTAGAATTGATCTTCAGCATGTTCAGAAACCCATGCCTGCCGTAAGAGGCAAATAAGGGGATTGGGTGGTCTGGCTCTCAGACTTGTGTAAATGACGTGAGACAAGCATGGGTTGCTGAAGAGCAATTCTAACCCAGATCTTCACGGGTATGAAAATCGAAGGTAAAGTGGATGTGTCTGCTAAATTTGATGGTTCATTCTGTCCACAGGTGGGCAACTTCCTTCGTATGTTCCGAGGGTCGTTATACAAGCGATATCCATCAATGTGGAGGAGACTGGTCACGGTTGAGGAAAGGAAGAAGATAGCTACCATGGGTAAACAAACACTGACATTGATTTACACATAGAAGATAGTTTTAGTTTACCAGGCACAATTGCCTACCATCTACTAATTGACTGTTAGGGCCGTTACGATTCACTTGTGTATTTGGTGAATCGGTGCACATTCCTTCATGAAATTAATTCATTATTTGAGATCAGTAGAATCACATGTTCACAATTTTTTGAAAATGAGTGTTTTTGATTTGGATCTGCCTGTTATTTTTTTAAGTGGAATAAGCGAAATGGAATACATTGAAGCAAGGTAGGATAATAGTCAATGAGCTAATGTATTTCATTTGATAGTAATGTGGTCACTGGTCATTTTCTTGACAAATTAACACTGTCAGACTCATAAAAATATTACTCTCTGACTGAATATGATTGCTAAAACAGTGATGTGTTATGGTATTCCTAAAAATTAGGCATAATCGTTCCCCTACACTCATGATATGTATCATATAGACCACTGACATCATAACGGATTCGTTACTATTGTGTACCTTTACTAGTCTTTACAAAATTCATGTTCTTGGCCAGTGGACAAAATCTACTGTCTGATTTGTTATTGTTTTGAAAGTTTTGTGCTGAATAAGAAGTATTGGTACCAACTGCTACACAAGTGTATGCATGGCATCAACAGTCTTTGCCAAAAACATGAGTTAACTAACCCGATCTGGTCTTTTGGCATCATTTTACTAGATTTGTAGTCCTATTGTATCGACTGTTATTAGCTGAGCTTACTTGAACGACTCATATTTTTCAAGAAAACTTCATGTGGTGTAAACTTGTTGAAAATTCAAAACTTGAAGTTTCAAAACTTATAGGTATAATCTGATAAGGTTTACAAGGTATTTCTTATACAGGAGAACAATCAAAAGAAGTCAGTTTTAATTCATCAGAATGTTTATGCATTTAGAATGACTATGTTGAAGCAGTTTGCTTCAGATTGCTTGATGTTCAACAACTTTATCTGGCAAGGTATTTGTTTAAACTTCATTTTCATGATTATGTAATCAATATGAGATTATGACAATAACTTTAAACAGAACTTTAACTATGCTGTCTCATTTCCCATGAATATACACATCATGGTTACCATGGCAACATATAATTGTGCTTTGTTTTATATATTCAATTGTGTGCTTTGCATGTGGTCACAGCTACTGCCAACATTTTAAGATTCCTTTGTTGACATTAATGTCCACTGAATTTCATAAAATTTGGAAATGTTTTTATCACTGTTGTTAAACTAACTTTAATCTATACATCATCAAGATTAAATGTCTTTATTTCTTTTCATTCTTTATTATCAGTGATGTTATGAAATTTTGTGACTGAATCAGCTCTTTTTATCTAATGGCTACCCGGTTAGTTTCTGGCAGGACTTTCTTACTAGAGCCTATGGATAAAAATGGTATTTGTAGGTTATATGCAGATAGAGATACAAATATTACAGGACAAGAAGGAACTACTCTCGGTGTTAAGTTCAGATTGCCTGGCCGTTGTCATACAAAGATTGAATCAGAATTAAAACAGAGACTATTGATAAACTACTGGTCTAAGGTACAGAAAATTAGGGTTTTATTGTGATGTAACTAAGACATATTATAAGTTTGGGCAGCTTTGGAGATGTAACAGCTATCCAATTTAGTAAGTACTCTAGTCTAGTTGGTCAGGATCTGTTTCCATAGGGTTTTGTAGACATCTCAACTTTGGACCTTTTCCAAGTTTAAAACAACTGGATTTGGGTGAAATATGTCCAATATTATTTCTTGTAACTATTTTTTGCTCTGCGTACTCCTGTGTCAGCATTCTGTAACATTATTACCAGATGTCAGGCCTATCAGCATGATCAGACATAAAACAAACATGGTATCTCATAGATTAGTGTGAGTGAGTGTAGTTTTACGCCACACTCAGCACTATTCCAGCTATATGGCGGCGGTCTGTAAATAATCGAGTCTGGACCAGACAATCCAGTGATCAACAGCATGAGCATCGATCTGCGCAATTGGGAACCGATGACATGTATCAACCAAGTCAGCGAGCCTGACCACCCGATCCCGTTAGTCGCCTCTTACGACAAGCATGAGATACTGAAGGCTCATTCTAACCCAGATCTTCACAGGTCTCTTTCTGAGGACACAGGAAGGATTATGATACCCTATCTTTTGTATAGGTATAGCCTAGTGGCTAACACCAGGTTCGATTCCCCACATGGGTACAAAGTGTGAAGCCCATTTCTGGTGTCTCTCGCCATGATATTGCTGGAATATTGTCAATAGCAGGCGTAAAAAAACCTTCACAAGCTTCCAAAATTTTTGGGAGATGAGTTATTTTAACTATTTACTCCAATTTAGTGGTTTGTCATCATGATCATAAGTAGTATTATCATTGTAATAATGTAGTCTATAAATGTTTTAACCTTATACATCATCATCATCACAGACAGAAATTGCTGATTTCTGTATGGCCTCGTAACATGTTATGTTTACAAAAGAGTACTTGCAATCATGGCTAAACATTTTGAGATTAGTAGAACACCAAATGAATTTGTACTTGTCTTTAGGCTTTTGCTATACAAAACAGCTTGAGGAATGCTTCATTATAATATATGTCACGTTGATTACATTCTTGGAAGGGTATGAGAGACATGATTTGTGTCACCCTTTACATGGAGCTTTGTGTTGGCCATGTTGGGATTATTTATACTGATCAGGAGATCAACCTACTGGGTTTTCAACGGCAAGGTTTCAAACATAGATTTGATACCTGTAAATTTCATTTGAAAATGAACAAGACAACTTGGTTTCAAAATTTTAAAATGTACTTGTATCAAACTGTAGTTGGAGACCTCTCTATTGAAACTACATTAGATTTATTTCCATTCTACCATGACAAAATATCAAAGTAAATTCAAACTGTTTGGTTATAGTGGAATTAATTTGTGATGTTTCATCAGTTGAGGCTGATATTTTCAATCAGTTGAAATCTAGGGTACGTAGGATGTGGGACACATGACATCCCAGTTGGTGATAGAGTAGTGTTGGAAGTCAAACTGTGTTGATGTTACCAATATTTACAATATAGTCTTTATTATTTTGTTTCCTCGAGAAATATATTCCAGCACATGCTGTAAAAATGTGTATGAACTGCAACACAGAAAGATCTGTCAAAACTGCAAATGAATTGTTTTGAATAAATATACATCATTACACATCAATATAGTTATGATCATTGTGTGACGTTTAGATTCAGTGTCTAACCAATCAGAATGCCAGATTCTAGTGTGTCATGGTAGAGTTCATGGTCATTACTTCTGCATTTGCTGCATTGTGATGTTCATTGTTAACTTGCTGCTTACATGCAGGAAAAGATGAAGAAACGCCTTCTGATTGAACCTAACAGTGATTAACATTCACTAGTGACTGGAACTATTATCCTAGCCACTTACTCTCCCTATATCTGGATGGTGGATGGAAATGACTTTACGCTTTGTGTTTACCATAGTTACAATTCCCTTTGATCAAATTTATGACATGGATGTAGTATCTCTGATTTGCTACAAATTGTAACATACTTTTGAAACCAATACAACTATATCTCTTCCTTAAACACTGATAAAAATGAATTTATAATAATTCCAGGCTGACAACAATAACCAGGACCAGTTTTAGAAACCAAAATGGCGGTAGGCCTGAAACCCTTGCCAGTTTTCCATCCTAAATACTAATTCACATTTCACTTTTGAAGAGCTATTTTTTTATGATGTACGTGTTAAAGAGTGCAGCCCAGAAGTAACTAACAGCATGCAAATTATCAGAAACCCATTTGGATACTTGGTTAGAACTTGTCCCTAGCAATCTATATTGGAAGTGAGAACCAAGCTGAGAAATCTGGTCATACTTCCATGGTGTGGATAATATTATCAGTGTTCACTAATGGTGTTTCAAAGTAACAGGACATTGGGTCCTGTAAGTTTCAGATGTCTGTCTGACCCATTGAAAATTCAAAGGACCCATAGAATAAAATTAAACACACCTTTCAGATTTAACATTTCTTATAATTAGCATTGAAATTATTAACAACCATAAGATTTATAAACAGGAAACAAGTGTCACATGCCACATGTAACAACTTCAGTCAAAGTCATTCTGAAACATACAGTCAGACACTGGGGCCCGGTGGGTTGTAGACTTCTATCAGACCGTTGGCGAATCTGCCGGATTTGTCAGAGGCTCAGACGCTATTCGTGAACACTGTTTAATATCCGTCACTGGATTGTCTGGTCTTGAATCGATTATATTACAGACCAGGTCATAGAGCTGGATATTGCAGAGTAAAACAACAAACAAACAGTAGTTGGTAGTCAGTATTCAGTTGTCAGGTAATCAGTAGGAAGTGTTTCTTCATCTCCGTCCTGCATGTTGATGTTCTGCTTATTGCACCGCTGGTGTTTTGTGCTGTCTGTGAAATGTCCAGTATAGATCAGGAGAACTGTAGTTTTCGCAGGGTTCGGTCAGCACTCTCTGGCGACAAACATCACCTTGCTGAAGGCAGCCGAGGTGGACGAGATCTTTGAGGGCAACGACGACAAATACAAAGCTGTCTCCATCAGTAGCGAACCGTCATTTACCAGGTAAACATGTAAACAATCAGCAAACTTGTATCCAGTCTCTTTACACTACTGTCACACTGAAGGGAGTGAGTGAGTTATGTTTTACGCTGCTTTTATTAATATTCCAGCAATGATGAGCGGCACTTTAATCACTAGGTTACCCCACCGCCCCTAGTTACGCTGAAGACTCTGGTTCGATTCCTCACATGGGTACAATGTGTGCAGCCCATTTCTGCTGTCCCCCCGCAGTGATACTGCTGGAATATTGCTAAAAGCAGTGTAAAACCAAACTCACTCACCACAGACTGACTCACAACTGTTAATGCTAATTCTCATTATCTTAAGATGCAAAGGAAATTCACATTTTTATGGTCTTCAAAGCAATGAATTCTGTTCATATAAGTAGAGCTTATGTTACCATGGTTAACAATCTACAGAATAATGTCGGGATTCTGAACTTGAGTGCCCATGGCAGCCACATTGGGAGAGAAATATAGTTAAAACTATATCAACATGAACAGAGACATTTTATAATTTTATTAAGATTTTCACTTACACTTGCAGCAATCTTAGGGCTAAACGTCGGCTTCCGGTCTCTATTATTATCAGATTGCATGTGTTTGTACACCATCAACTCCATTCATAAGATCACTTACGTAAGTCCAGCCCAGAACTGATTATTAAGAAGTTTTTGTTACATCTCAGTGAGGGCGGTGGGGTAGCCTAGTGGTTAAAGCGTTCGCTTATCATGTTGAAGACCCAGGTTCCATTCCTCACATGGGTACAGCCGCTCGCTTATCATGTGAAGCCCATTTCACATGGGTGGTGTCCCCTGCTGTGATATTGCTGGAATATTACAACAACAAAAAACAGCGTAAAGCTAAAATTCACTCATTTACTCACTACATCTCAGTGAGCTGTGTTGAACAACAGACTGACATCTATGAATCATTTTTTGCAACAGAGATTCAAAAACAAAGCGCAGTACCTGGGTACCCACAATTCCAAGCAGTTCGCACCACCTCGATGCTGTTCCATGCTCCACCCCCATCAACAGAAACAGACTTGGCAAAGGCAAAGTGCGGACATTCCCTCTATGGTAAACCGAAGGCCTCATCAGATTGAATGGATTTCTGCTGCCATATATATGTCAGATATTGATAGAAAATTGATTGGAAATGATGGTACAACTCTTTAGAATAGTCTACATGGTGTAAGGAAAACAATAATGTTGGTCCAGACACAGTTATGTCAAAAGCCATTTTTGGAATAGGTTACACATGTAACATTTTCCACACAAATTTGAAAAAACCCACCAGGGCCCCGTTCCGCAAAGCGATCGTAGAGCGTTAAGATGATCATAACTCCCATACTTGAACATAGACTTACGCCTGTCGTAGCGCTAAGGTGATCGTAACTCCCATACTTTAACATAGACTTACGACTGTCGTAGCGCTAAGATGATCGTAACTTCCATACTTTAACATAGACTTACGACTGTCGTAGCGCTAAGATGATCGTTAATCCCATACTTTAACATAGACTTACGACTGTCGTAGTGCTAAGATGATCGTAACTACCATACTTTAACACAGACTTACGACTGTCGTAGTGCTACGATGATCGTAACTCCCATACTTTAACATAGACTAACGACTGTCGTAGCGCTACGATCGCTTTGAGGAACGGGGCCCATGTCAATAAGTTATTTTTTTACAGGAAACTAATATATAAGAACTACTTTGCAATGCCTGCATGTGTTTGTCAGTATCCATCGCGAAGCAAAACTTTCCAAGTACAGTTTTGTAGTTAAGAGTTACTTCCCTTGGATGATCAGTTCCACATTCGACCAGCCTGATGTTTATCCAGCTCCTAGCTGTATGTTTGTTACCATAGGGTCTTAAAATTGTTGTTTGGGCTTGAAAAGGTCTTAAATTTGATGTTTGATAATCTGTACTAACTTTGTACTAGTCAGTGAGGGCCTACCATCTCTGAATTTCTACTTTTCCTCTGTACAGCTTTGTACTCTCAGACTAGCGTGATTTTCAAAAGTTTGATGATGTATCAACCCAGTTATTGAAGGATCTGATATAAATTGGAACGGAACTACAAAGGAGACAGTGAAATATTGATGTGTGTTGATTTGTGCATGTTTGTTATAGCTTTGATGACACAAACCCAGCTACCATCCACGAGAATGCTGGCCAAAATGAATCTCTTATCCCTATCAGACTCGATATGGAGTTTGATGGCCAAAAATTGAGAGATTGTTTCACATGGAATAAAAATGGTAAGTAATTTGTAGTGTTTAATGACTTAGATGAATATTCATTTTTACATAACCTAAGGATCAAACCTCATTATAAGAAGAATTCTTTCAACTGGTTGAAATTCCAGAGAAGGTTAAATATTAGCTGAATGTGTATTGTTGTTCTCTGATAGAGCTGTTGTCCATGCTGACGTTCTTACATAGAAGCAGTTGACCAAATCAAGACGTTAACATCTGATGCAGTTTCCTGACTCGTAAAACTGTAATGTAAACAACCTAATCCGGTGCGTGTCTCATCAGGAAACTGGAAGTATACTCAATCATCTTGATCGTAGCATAATCGGTGCCTGTTTTGTTTGATTTTTTTTTTATGATTGTGTCCATTTATTGCCCACATGAATTTTGTGGTGGAGGTTTAAGATTACAATCGATTATTGATCAATTACTGAGCTCCGGTTATCGATCTGCAATTATGAGCAATAACCAGCTCTAGTTGTAGGTATGAGAAGCAAATGGATCAACTGTGCACAACATTAAGTTTATCATGTTTATATGACTGATTGTTCGTTGTTCAACTCTGCATTCAGCAATAATCCATCTATTTATGATGTCAGCTTATGCACAATGTAGTTTTGTATTATAACAGTCCAACCTTCAATACATTTGTCGTGTAATTTCAGAAAAGCTAATCTCACCAGAACAGTTTGCTGAAGTATTATGTGATGACCTTGACCTTAACCCAATCAACTTCGTGTCGGCTGTGGCCCAAGCTATCCGGCAACAGATCGAGGCATCGCCCACAGAAACTATAGTGGAGGACCAGAAGGATCAAAGAGTTATACTCAAAGTAAAACAAAGTAGACTGGAAAACCAGTGGTTTTCAAGGATTCTTTTGATGGACAGTGAAATCTTTTAATCAATATTCAATATTTATGATTTGCTTCTAACGTTTTGATCAGTGTATTGAAATGTCAGAATGTTGATACTTGACATCCTCTTATTGATATTAAACCATTCATTTTAAATGAATTTGCACAGATGGCATTGTCTATTTGGGTTCACAATTCACTGTACAGAGTTATGTCCCTTAGCCGTAATATTGCTAAAAGCGGCGTAAAACCATACTCACTCACTAAATTACATGCCACCCAAGAACTGAAGTATATTTCCCCATTAGTGATATTATATTAGCCCAACCGTAAAAATAACCTGTTGCTAAAACTCATAAGGGTACAACATACATAAAACTCATTTATATTAGTTCAGTTTAAGGGCATATCAACAAACAAGACAAAAACATTTGTACTCTGCCTCTTAGATTTATTTCATTTATCATCAACAATAAGTGAGACAGAGATGCTTTTTTGTGCATTTTTCACTACAGTGGAGATCATGTATGTCTGATGCCTGAACTCTATCAGTCAATAAATATTTAGTTTTAATTATGTAAAGTTTTACAGTTGTGAAGGATTGGGTAATTAATTACACATAGTGTCCTTCCACTACTGGATTTTTCATTTTTTTATGCTTATTAGTTCGCAAGCAAAACAAACTTTTAGGATTATGGTGACTTATTTTGTGTATGTTATGCAAATCAAGAGCTCAGATTAATGCTCTGACATATCTCAAATTGTTCATCACCTTGACTGTGGATTAAGAAGATTTCCCTGTGTTTTTTATCAGTACGGTTCAGGTTTAAATATTTTTCAGAATTGATATCCAGATGGCGCTTTTTGCAGTTAAACATTCATGTAGGAAATATCTCACTAGTGGACCAATTTGAGTGGGACCTCTCCGAGCCCGAAAACAGTCCAGAGGAGTTCTCCACTAAACTGTGTGCTGAGCTGGGTAAGAATTATCCTGATACAGGATGATAGCACTGTACACTGTTGCATCCCTTATACTGTTAGCTTAAGTATTGGCTCAATAATAACCATCATCAGATGATGGCAACTGAAACATATTTTATGACTTTAAAATATTTCAATCGTTCTTATGCTTCTGTCCTTACTCCATCATGCATATTATACGAGATTTGTACTCATAACAGACAATTTTGACTCATTCCAGTTAAGTGTATTTTAAAATTAAAATGCATTATCTACTTTTGTTTTATATTATTTCACTTTGCATGAGTAAATATAATGTTTGCTTTGCACTGATATCTCAGTTTCAAATATGGTCTTCAATCCTAGATCATGGTTGCCACACTACCAAAGGGAAATAATTTGATTGGCATTTGCTAGATTGTCTCCCCTTGGCAAGTTCATTGTTCTATGCATGGGCAGCACATTTTGTTACATAATATTATTAACAAAAAGCCTATGTAGATGATGATACATATGTTATGTCACAGGTCTTGGTGGGGAGTTTGTGACAGCGATCGCATACAGTATACGAGGTCAGCTGAGCTGGCATCAAAGAACTTACGCTTTCAGGTGAGTGGCAGAGTTAGAGATTCAATCATAAAACAACTGGTCTCGTTTTGTTGAACCTGACAGTAGGGGGTTGTAGGGACGTGTGGGGCAGGCACGAGTTTGTTTCTTATCACTGCACCCATGAGTATTCCAAGCCAGTCTGTCAGTAATCAAGTGTAGAAATTCTAGTGATTGACGTTATGAGCATTGACCCTTGGATTTGGGAACTGTAACATTTAGTCTAGAGGCATCAAAGAACTTACGCTATTAGGTGAGTGGGAACTTTAGAGATTCAATAATAATACAACTGGTTTTAGTTTCGTTGAACCTGAGAGTTAAATCTTTGATGTTGCTTCCCATGAAGAACTAAACTCACTCACTCACTCTGATGTTGCAGCGAGGCACCGCTGCCTATTGTTGAAGTCGCACTCAGGAACCAGAATGAAGCGGACCAGTGGTGTCCATTCCTGGAGACACTGACCGATGCGGAAATGGAGAAGAAGATCCGAGATCAAGACAGAAATACAAGGTGGGTATGACACAGATGCTAGTTGACAGGTTTGGGTCAGTCATATTACAATGTTTCATGGTCCTTGGATTTGTCGTCACACCAAAGGCCCGGATTCGATTCCCGCAGCCTTTCCAAGTTTAAATTCAATTCTCTTTCAATGAATAGACGATTAGGAGAAGATAGGACTAGAGACGAATTATCAGCAAATAATCTTGTCAAGCAGTCTGAATCATCACCAAGATCATTTATATAAACAAGAAATAAGAAAGGACTGACCCTTGAGGGACAACAGCTTGTAAATACCTTGGCTTGGAAAGGGCTCCATTTACAAAAAACGCTTTGTGAACGATTACTTATGTCATCCACGCCGAAGACCCGGGTTCGATTCCCCAATGGGTACAATGTGTGGAGCCCATTTCTGGTGTTCCCGGCTGGAATATTGTTGGAATATTGCTGTAAGTGGCATAAAACTAAACTCACTGACTCACTCCTTGGATTTATGTACTATAAGGATAAGGACGATATCATATCATACCGGCTTATTTACTTCTCGTTCCAGAGGTATGCGAAGATTGGCCAACACAGCACCTTCCTGGTGAAAAGACCTTTAAAGTGTTGACACTGACGAGTTCGGTCTACCGGAGAAGCCATGGACGTCTTCAGTATGAGTGTAATGTATTTTGCAGGTTCTGAAACGGACATGGTTCTGCCACTGGCATTATGAGGAGTCAACTGCTCATCTGATCACAACATTGTGAGGGTAGTGGAATATCTAATGGGTGGGAAGGTAGTGGAGGGGAGGTTTCTAACGAACAGGAGGGTCAGGTGGATTTCTGACAGGTGGGAGGGTGTGGGGTTGGATCTCAAATTGGTAGGCATTTGAGGGGTGGATATTTAATGGGTATGAAGGAGGGGACGTTGAAATTAATTTATGGACCGTGGGCTTGGGTTGGAGTGAAGGAGGTGGTGGAAGGATCTAATCCAGTTTAGTATTTCAGTATTAGAATTTAGTGTAATCATATGGAATTTTCTGAAGCCAGTTTGTATTTATTGGGGATGTATGGTTGTGGATTGGTTTTGTGGAGGGACTGGGACTCTATGATCAAGAGCGGATTTGGTTCTTCAGGTAAGAAATTCAAAATAGAGCTGGGGTGGTGATTTATTTGGTTGACTGAGGGTTGGTGAGGTGGGTAGGTAGGTAGAGACCCTAAGACCTGGAATCTGTCATGGATTACCCCCAGTGGACCTTGTCAGATGGGCAGTGGGGTAGCCTAGTGGTTAATGCGTTCGCTCATCAAGCCGAAGACCCAGGTTTGATTCCCCACATGGGTACAATGTGTAAAGCCCATTTCTAGTGTTGCCCACCATGATATTGCTGGAATATTGCTAACGGCAGTGTAAAACCATACTCACTCACTCATAATCACTTAACAGATGATTGAATAGATTTATACTGTTACCATCATGTGCAAACCTAGATTTATATAACTCTTTTCAACACTATGAATACATGTTATGTTATCCAAGGGAATTTCAGGTATAGAAGTGTACTTTTAAGTATGTAACTGTTAACATGTTGCTGATCAAAATGGATCTTCCAGAAGTGGAATATTTAAAACAGGTCTCATGGATACTGATTATCTAATATTGAGATGTGAAGATAGTTATTATGAGGGAGGGAGAACAGTGTAACACATCATAGTTGATGATGGACGAAGACGAAGACAGTGTTGTGTATCATAGGACGCTGGGCTCTGGATTTCTACAGCTAAAACTGCCACGTCACCCTGTATTATGGTGTGCATCATTACAGCTAAAACTGCCACGTCACCCTGTATTATGGTGCATCATTGGTTTTGTACTGTTTCAGTTCCTGTTGTCAAGTCATTCATTGTCATTATTCATGTACATCATTTATCATTTCAAATAAATCAAATTTTCTATATCATGTTTGTTGTGTTTGTACACATGGAGGATCATTTGGCGTTCTGTTCAACATCTTCAGAATTTAGTGAGTGTTGTTTTCTGTGCCATGTTTTAGCAGGTAAGGAGGATTCATTCAGTATTCAAGTCAGAATTTAGTGAATGTCGTTTTCTGTGCCATGTTTTAGCAGGTAAGGAGGATTCATTCAGTATTCAAGTCAGAATTTAGTGAAGTGTTGTTTTCTGTGCCATGTTTTAGCAGGTATGGAGGATTCATTCAGTATTCAAGTCAGAATTTAGCGAGTGTTGTTTTCTGTGCCATGTTTTAGCAGGTAAGGAGGATTCATTCAGTATTCAAGTCAGAATTTAGTGAATGTCGTTTTCTGTGCCATGTTTTAGCAGGTAAGGAGGATTCATTCAGTATTCAAGTCAGAATTTAGTGAGTGTTGTTTTCTGTGCCATGTTTTAGCAGGTATGGAGGATTCATTCAGTATTCAAGTCAGAATTTAGTGAGTGTTGTTTTCTGTGCCATGTTTTAGCAGGTAAGGAGGATTCATTCAGTATTCAAGTCAGAATTTAGTGAATGTCGTTTTCTGTGCCATGTTTTAGCAGGTAAGGAGGATTCATTCAGTATTCAAGTCAGAATTTAGTGAATGTCTTTTTCTGTGCCATGTGTTAGCAGGTAAGGAGGATTCATTCAGTATTCAAGTCAGAATTTAGCGAGTGTTGTTTTCTGTGCCATGTTTTAGCAGGTAAGGAGGATTCATTCAGTATTCAAGTCAGAATTTAGCGAGTGTCGTTTTCTGCGCCATATTTAAGCAGGTATGGAGGATTCATTCAGTGTTCTATTCAGAATTTAGCAAGCATCATTTGGTGTGTGATGTTTGTTTCATGAAGGTATGGAAGGTTGTACTTGGTACATGTGTACAGTGTGTGAAGCCCATTTCTGGTGTTCCCTGCTGAGGTGTTGCTGGGATATTGCTAAAAGCGGCGTAAAACCATACTCACACACTAGAATGTTGCAAGGGTAAGTTGCAAGCTGTACAAGAGACACAGCTGTAATCTGAGCAATTGGTCTTAAATCTCTCGCAAAAACTAAGTCATGTATTGATTTATTAATATAAATAGAGCGTATTCACAATTGATATACCCATGAAGGTCCGGGTTAAAACTGATCCTCAGTAACCCATGCTTGTCGTAAGAGGCGACAAACGGGATCGGGTGGTCAGGTTTGCTGACTTGGTTGACACGTCATCGGTTCCCAATTGCGCAGATCAATGCTCATGCTGTTGATCACTGGATTGTCTGGTCCAGACTCGATTATTTACAGACCGCCGCCATATAGCTGGAATATTGCTGCGTGTGGCGTAAAACTACACTCGCTCATACTAATCTATGAGATACCATGTCTGTTATAAGTCTGATCATGCTGATAGGCCTGACATCTGGTAATAATGTTACAGAATGCTCAGACTTCGATTATTTACAGACCGCCGCCATATAGCTAGAATATGGCTGAGTGCGGCGTAAAACTAAACTCACTCACTCACTCACTCACTCACTCATTATAAAATAATTTCAGATACTATATTGTTCCAATCACTGCATCAGAATTCATCTCGTTATATTATTGGGTATGTTTTACTAAATCACCGGTAGGTCACAGGGGAAGGTATGCACAGCTGATTGCTATTTCTATATCTGTATACGACACAAATACACACGATAATCTTACTCCCTGCATATAACACAGTATGGCCACTGTGGAATAGCAAGGCCATCTTTCAAGCAGAAACAGATGCATGATCTGTGCAGTCCATTGGATGTTCAAATTTAATATCTGAATCACAGAATTCTGTTCTGAAGCCACTGTTTCATGTGTTTGTCGTCCTGTTGGAGAATTTCAGATGGAGGCCATTTTCTGCTCGAGAGAACGACCTCGGGAAAAGGCACTGCAGGTTTATCTGGATCTACCTTGATGTGAAATCTGGAAATAGAAATGTTCCATTACTGTATATGACTGGATTTCCATGTCAAGGCTTTGTTGAAAGCTCCAGGCAGATCAAACAGATCCATTCTGTACTGATACTGGGGCGGTGGGGTAACCTACTGGTTAAAGCTTTCGCTTGTCATGCTGAAGACCCATGTTCGATTCCCCACATGGGTTCATTAGTGTCCCCCATTGTGATATTGCTGGAATATTGCTAAAAGTGGCATAAAAGTCAACTCACTCACTCATTGTACTAGTACTCATCAATTTGGCTAAAACGGTGGTATCACATTTAAGAGTGAGTGAGTGAGTTTTTTATGCCGCTATATAGCGGCGGTCTGTAAATAATCAAATCTGGACCAGATGATCAACAGCATGAACATCGATCTTCGCAATGAGGATACGATGACATCACATTTAAGAACCTGTCAGTACATCAGTGTACACCTGGTTACAAGAAAGTCAGATGGTAATCTGCTTTTATCATGCCAAAGAATAAAATACCTACATACAATGGCCAAAACCTATTTCTGGTGTTCATCGCCATGATATTGCACAAATATTGCAAAAAATGCTCAAATAAATAAACAAAGCATATCAAAGGACACTTTGTTCATTTGAAATTCTTCCACACCAACCTTCGAACAGCCTGACACAGCATCACTTTTATTTCATTCATAGCAAAGTTCTGTCCAATGCAGTTCCTGAAAAAAAAAAACACTACTGTTCAATTAATATCCCCTCAATACTTCTGGTGATGACTGTCTTCAATGGACCTTTACAATGCTTTACAAACTGATCGTACCTCTAAGAGAGTCGTAAGTCCATGTTGAACTATGGAACTTACCGGAAAAATGCTATAATATGAAAGATAGAAATGGGAAAAGGAATTGGGTCACAAACGTAAAAGAATTATTATTTTCTATTGGATTTGGTAATGCATGGTATGAACAGCATATAAAATCTCACTCATTATTCCTGTTATCTGCTATGCTGACTTAAAGATATGTACATGCAAAACTGGAATGAAAACTTACCTCTTTCCGGGAAGTGTTTTTACTATAAAATGATTAAACAATCTATCCACAAAGAACAGTATCTGTCAGTGTTAAAAGTAAGAAAATTTAGAATAAGCCTTGCACAATTCCGCTGTTCATCTCAAGATTTGCTTACAGAATGTGGCAGGTATTTTGGCTTAATAGTGAGTGAGTGAGTGAGTGAGTTTAGCTTTACGCCACTTTTTAGCAATATCATGGTGGGGGACACCAGAAATGGGCTTCACACATTGTGCCCATGTGGGGAATCGAACACGGGTCTTCGGGGTAACGAGCGAATGCTTTAACCACTAGGCTACCCCACCGCCCTTTGGCTTACTAAAAGAACATAAGATATGTAAAATGTGTAATCTGAATGTAATTGAAAACGAGTATCACTTTCTTTGTATATGTCCAGCCTATTATATGTTGAGAAATAAGTATATTAAGAGCTACTACTTTGTACATCCTTACATTCATAACTTCATTTCACTTTCAACCAATTCTAGTAAAGTACATTTAGAAAGATTATCTTTGTATATCTATTACGCTACCACATGCAGAAAAAATTACATTCTTAAAAATTCTACTAAATGATCATTTGTTATTCACTGTATTTGTACTATAGGCCTGTGGCCTCCTGAGTATGGAAATAAATAAAGATAAAGAGTGTTATAAGTCTGTGTTCAACTATGGAACTTAAGACCACCTGAGCGCTACTACGATTACTGTGTGAAACTGGGCCCAGGTTGTGACTACATGTAAAAATTTCTTTTTCACGTTTTTCAAATGTCAGTTATATTACCGGTAATGTACTGCTAAAAATAATATTTTTTTATGTCAACCTATTGTCTGGGGTTGGGTGATGATTTTTAAGGAGAAGTATGTACAATGATGAATGACCCCCTAAAATTTATGCACATGCACATGTCATGTACAAATTCAATGACCCACCCCCAATATTTTTGATTTAATATTTCTCCTTAAAGTCATCATCATCCCCCCCTAGCCATAAATTATGAACACTCCCCATGCATTAACAAACTTTTCAAAGACACACCACCATTTCTCCCCACCCCCTAAACATAACACATGACACAATGCAGTGCATGGGGTGTCATTCTTGATTTTGAAGGTTTTCAAGAAGGTCAATAAATCACTGTAGACCATTAATTTTGACAATCATCTCGCATGACACATTTGTTAGTGTTGTTTCTAGCTGTCTTGTTTTGTTTGAAATGAAAATCGTACTCATGCAAATTTCCCGTCATATACCAATCATCTTTCAAGAGCGATTACTGCACAGACAACTATGGTCATAACGAAGTGGAAGTGGTGATGAACTCTCAAAACATTCATTATCATATCAACATTGATTGACTGTGATATATCTCCCAATTATTTCAATCATAAATTAAAAATGAAGTTCCCCTACTTTTACTCTATTAGAGTTATATATACACATCCAAGCCAGGACGGTATATATAATTTGACAGTATCATTGTCCTGATAAATGAACACTGTCAACATGATCAAAACATGTCAAGAAATTATTCTGTGATTGCTTCACTGAATATAATGAGCAATACATACTAACATGTTTTTGCAATTATTTCCCAATATTATATTTTTGTTTCCCAATATCATATTTGTTTCCCAATAACTTGTTACCCAATACTATATTTGTTACCCAATAACTTGTTTCCCAATATTATACTTGTTACCCAATACTATATTTGTTACCCAATATTATGTTTGTTACCCAATACCTTTTTTGTTACCCAATATTATATTTGTTACCCAATACCATATTTGTTACCCAATATTATATTTCTTACACAATTCCATATTAGTTACCCAATATTTGTGATATGTATCATATTTGCCTCATGGTGGATTAGTTCCAGGCCTACTATTTATCATAATGGAGATAGTATACTGGATGGTGGAGTAGTTCCAGGCCTACTATTTATCATAATGGAGATAGTATACTGGATGGTGGAGTAGTTCCAGGCCTACTATTTATCATAATGGAGATAGTATACTGGATGGTGGAGTAGTTCCAGGCCTACTATTTATCATAATGGAGATAGTATACTGGATGGTGGAGTAGTTCCAGGCCTACTATTTATCATAATGGAGATAGTATACTGGATGGTGGAGTAGTTCCAGGCCTACTATTTATCATAATGGAGATAGTATACTGGATGGTGGAGTAGTTAGGCCTACTATTTATCATAATGGAGAGATAGTATACTGGATGGTGGAGTAGTTCCAGGCCTACTATTTATCATAATGGAGATAGTATACTGGATGGTGGAGTAGTTCCAGGCCTACTATTTATCATAATGGAGATAGTATACTGGATGGTGGAGGAGTAGTTCCAGGCCTACTATTTATCATAATGGAGATAGTATACTGGATGGTTCCAGGCCTACTATTTATCATAATGGAGATAGTATACTTGATGGTGGAGTAGTTCCAGGCCTACTATTTATCATAATGGAGATAGTATACTGGATGGTGGAGTAGTTCAGGCCTACTATTTATCATAATGGAGATAGTATACTGGATGGTGGAGTAGTTCCAGGCCTACTATTTATCATAATGGAGATAGTATACTGGATGGTGGAGTAGTTCCAGGCCTACTATTTATCATAATGGAGATAGTATACTGGATGGTGGAGTAGTTCCAGGCCTACTATTTATCATAATGGAGATAGTATACTGGATGGTGGAGTAGTTCCAGGCCTACTATTTATCATAATGGAGATAGTATACTGGATGGTGGAGTAGTTCCAGGCCTACTATTTATCATAATGGGAGAGATAGTATACTGGATGGTGGAGAGTAGTCCAGGCCTACTATTTATCATAATGGAGATAGTATACTGGATGGTGGAGTAGTTCCAGGCCTACTATTTATCATAATGGAGATAGTATACTGGATGGTGGAGTAGTTCCAGGCCTACTATTTATCATAATGGAGTAGTTCAGGCCTACTATTTATCATAATGGAGATAGTATACTGGATGGTGGAGTAGTTCCAGGCCTACTATTTATCATAATGGAGATAGTATACTGGATGGTGGAGTAGTTCCAGGCCTACTATTTATCATAATGGAGATAGTATACTGGATGGTGGAGTAGTTCCAGGCCTACTATTTATCATAATGGAGATAGTATACTGGATGGTGGATTAGTTCCAGGCCTACTATTTATCATAATGGAGATAGTATACTGGATGGTGGAGTATGTCATACCTGGGACCAGCAGAGAATGGCACAAAACAGTAGGGGTCTCTGCCTGCAGCAGAATCAAGACTGAATCTCTCAGTGTCAAACTCCTGAAAAAAAGTACAGACTGTAGTGGCAGCTATGTATAACAGACGAAGCAAGGCATGGAAGGGAGGTAACTCTGGAGGGACTTTGAAGTATACATGTGAATGTCTGACTGACTGACTGAGTTTGGTTTTACGCCGCTTTTAGCAATATTCCAGCAACATCACGGCGGGGGACACCAGAAATGGGCTTCACACATTGTGCCCATGTGGGGATTCGAACCCGGGTCTTCGGCGTGACGAGCCAACGCTTTAACCATTAGGCTACCCCACCACCCCACATGTGAATGTCACCATCTTGTGCGTCTTATTGAGACGACCTCAAAGGACGATGGTATCACAACACATCATATAGCCATCCTGTGTATCTCCAGGATCTGTGCCCCCGCTTTTCCATTTTAAATTACCGTATATGACCGTCTATAAGACGACCCCATGGATAAGACGACCCCCAAACTTGACCCTTAAAATCAGTGTCAAAATGGTATGTTTCGTGCATAAGTCGATCCCCCGCGATGGGGTCCTAATTGCGGCAAACACAGACCACAGACAACTGGCGGTTACCAATAATTATAACTTTGGTCCACATTATTCAAATAATTCACAATCATATATATTGTGTCTACTCACGGATCGAAACGAAGTGTAGTTGACAGAAAATGCATAATATATTTTGCTTCTCTAAATATCAAATTTATTGTAGCAACAAACTGGCTTGCTTATTTTACCCCATTCAACAATTACGAACTGATTACCGCCTAGTTTTCCATTGACTGCTAGTTTACAGTAACATCGGTAAAAATGTGTGAATTTAAATGGCTTCCGTATTTTACCCCATTCCATGTGCGTACAATTCTGCTTACCACGTTCATGAGGGTCCTTATAACCTTAGTGTTGATTATATATATTTTACATAAAAACTGCAATTAAAATTACACAATGCTAGGTTATATTTCTTTGGGTTAAATAATAGTACTCTGTATTATATTTTACTGACGACTGCATCAGAATTCGTCCCGTTATATTATTGTGCATGTACATGCCCTTGATTTTGTTAACATTTTACCAACCAACCAAATGTCAAGATAAGGGGCCGTTCATAATTTATAGCATGGGGTATGTGTGTGTGTGTGTGTGTGTGTGTGTGTGTTTGATGATGATTTTTATATAAAAGTACACTATAATATATCTTTCCTCACAATTGTAATTTTTAAGAAATTTCCTAATGTATTATTGCCTTACAGCCTGGACTATATAAGAGATATTTTTCCTACCTTAAAGGTCACATGCAACATAAAACACAACTTTGCAGATTCTGATACCTTACGGTATGGACTTACCGAAACAAATTGTCAAAAATGCAAATTCAACTTATAAAGTTGAAGAATAACGCGATGAAAAAACCCGCGTGAAATCGGAGTTCAACCGTTTCACTAATTTTCCCCCCACTTTTCGGGGGAAAACTGGTTTCAACAGCTGGGCTGCGCTCATAGCATGTGCGCATTGAAATAGGTTTGCGCAGCTTGGAAGCGGGTTGTCCGGTGAATACTCGGTGAAGGCTTTGGTGTGAGCTATTTTTCTAATGTTTTATTGATATCTCACAGGCGCGAGCTTTTTATATGTTATTACAGTAAATTAACTGTTTATATAATTTCATTTGTCTATTTCACCACACGTTCTTCTTACCGAGTCACTTTCTCAGTTCGATACTTAAAAGCAATGTCATTATTTAGCGTTGACAGAATTTCTAACTGTGATATAGATATGTCGTTGTCACAGACAAAACTCAATGTCTTGTTTTATTGACACCTGTGTGTGTCTGCCTGCCTGTCTGCTAATGACAATATTCAATACACAGCTGTTATCACTGACCACATGCAATTTGAACTTAACACCAATCAGGCTATACACCATAAAAAAAATGCATTGATTTATGTCCCGAGTTCGGTCTCTGTCACATTATGTAATTACACAGACAGGCAGGTGTGATACTTGAACACATGACATGTTATGTCGTCTGTTGATTGCAAAGTGTTATACACAAAAAATGAGCATGTATTTACAAAACCCAACATCTCTATATACACACACACAATGAGCCGTGAGGGCATCTGCAAATGAACCAGCCGTTACACTTGAGTGCAGACCCACCCGCTCTGACTGGGTTCGGTATCCCGGCTGCTTCGTTTCTTGGGAAGTAAACCCAAGTACACAATATTGCACTTTTAATTTGCGATTATACGCTTATAATTTTGTTTATATGTTTTTTCATAACCAGCAATGTATATTATATGTCATGAATAAGTGATAATTGTGTTTTAATTATGTTTGATTTTTGGGTTGCATGTGACCTTTAAGCCATAAAAAATACCATAATGATAAATCACACATCAGAGGCATGTGAAACATACTAAACAAAGGGTAATCTATCAGTGTATATCTATCGAGATATTTAAACTAAATCTGAGATTACCAGGGGATTTGGCCAGACATTTGAGTTCCTGTGCATCTGGTAAATGTTGATGTCAACCATGACTCCTTTGGGAACCTCGACACCATCGATGATAAATATGGGTAAATACTTCAGCTTGGCCAGATCGTCCCTGAAACACAGGTACACAGGTGTGATAAATATGGGTAAATACTTCAGCTTGGCCAGATAGTCCCTGAAACACAGGTACACAGGTGTGATAAATATGGGTAAATACTTCAGCTTGGCCAGATGGTCCCTGAAACACAGGTACATGGGTGTGATAAACGTGCCATTTAGGTGAGTAATGTCTTCAAGCGCGGCCAGATGGTCACACACAGTGTACAGTATGCAGTATGTGTTGGTGTGCACATCATTTAGTCAGTATGTGTTAGTGTGTGTAATCATTTAGTGTCAGTATGTGTTGGTGTGTGTCATTTGGTGTGTGTCAGTATGTGTTGGTGGTATGTGTCAGTGTCAGTATGTGTTGGTGTGTGTCATTTAGTGTCAGTATGTGTTGGTGTGTGTCACTTAGTGTCAGTATGTGTTGGTGTGTGTCAGTATGTGTTGGTGTGTGTCATTTAGTGTCAGTATGTATTGGTGTGTGTCATTTAGTGTCAGTATGTGTTCGTGTGTGTCACTTAGTGTCAGTATGTGTTGGTGTGTGTCATTTAGTGTTAGTATGTGTTGGTGTGCATCATTTAGTGTCAGTATGTGTCAGTATGTGTTAGTGTGTGTCATTTAGTGTCAGTATGTATTGGTGTGTGTCATTTAGTGTCAGTATGTGTTGTGTGTGTGTCACTTGTGTCATTTTAGTGTATGTGTCATTTAGTGTCAGTATGTGTTGTGTGCAGTATGTGTTGGTAGTGTCAGTATGTGTTGTCATTTAGTGTGTCAGCATGTGTGTGTATGTGTCAGTGTTAGTCATGTAGTGTCAGTATGTGTTGGTGTGTCATTTAGTGTCATATTAGTGTCAGTATGTGTTGGTGTAGTGTCATGTGTTGGTGTGTGTCATGTGTCAGTATGTGTTGTGTCATTTAGTGTCAGTATGTGTTGGTGTGTGTCACTTAGTGTCAGTATGTGTTGGTGTGTGTCATTTAGTGTTAGTATGTGTTGGTGTGCATCATTTAGTGTCAGTATGTGTTGGTGTGTGTCATTTAGTGTCAGTATGTATTGGTGTGTGTCATTTAGTGTCAGTATGTGTTGGTGTGTGTCACTTAGTGTCAGTATGTGTTGGTGTGTGTCATTTAGTGTCAGTATGTGTTGGTGTGCATCATTTAGTGTCAGTATGTGTGTCAGTGTGTGTGTGTGTCAGTGTCAGTATGTGTTGGTGTGTGTCAGTATGTGTTGGTGTGCATCATTTAGTGTCAGTATGTGTTGGTGTGTGTCAGTATGTGTTGGTGTGTGTCAGTATGTGTTAGTGTGTGTCACTTAGTGTCAGTATGTGTTGGTGTGTGTCACTTAGTGTCAGTATGTGTTGGTGTGTGTCATTTAGTGTCAATATGTGTTGGTGTGCATCATTTAGTGTCAGTATGTGTTCGTGTGTGTCATTGAGTGTCAGTATGTGTTGGTGTGCGTCAGTGTGTGTCATTTAGTGTCAATATGTGTAAGTGTGTGTCATTTAGTGTCAATATGAATTGGTGTGTGTCATTTATTGTAAACCAAAAGTCACTGTGTTCTTTAATCTGATTGGTTGAAAAACGTAATCAGATGGTATTTGATTCCCGGAAATTCTCTGCGTATTAATACATACAAACATCGCTCACACCATTGTATTGTTACGTCGTCAGCTGTGATGACGTCATTAAATCATATTGTGACGTAAAGTCCGAATGACGTCACAAATGAGCAGTTCCAGATGCTACCATGGGAGACAGCCGAAACGGCCGGCTGATGACATTTCACTGCTGTACCCATACCTCGTGTCAATGAGAGCAGACACAAAAAACGTGTGTGGACCCTTCGGTTTACTTTTTGTGTTTTACAATGTCGATAAACATCATGTAGGCGAATTTCGGGTGTTATTGAGCATTTGAAGCACGGGAGTATTTCATTTGAAACCTCCGGCTGACGCCGTCGGATCCAAATGAATTCCCGTGCTTCAAATACTCAATAACACCCGGAAATTCGCCAAAACATGATGTTTATCTCCTAAGTGTCAGTATGTGTTGGTGTGTGTCATTTAGTGTCAGTATGTGTTAGTGTGCATCACTTAGTTTCAGTATGTGTTAGTGTGTGTCATTTAGTGTCAGTATGTGTTAGTGTGTGTCAGTATGTGTCAGTGTGTTAGTGAGTGTCAATGTGTGGATTTCTGTATTGGTGCTCTGTGTGGGAATGTGTGTAAGAGTGAGGGTGTGTTCATGTGTCAATGTCTGTGTTGGAATGTATGTAAGAGTGAGGGGTGTCCTTGTGTCAATGTCTGTATGGGACACACATGGACACACCCTCACTCTTACACACATTCCCATACAGACATTGACACATGGACACACCCTCACTCTTACACACATTCCCATACAGACATTGACACATGAACACACCCTCACTCTTACACACATTCCCGTTCAGACATTGACACATGAACACACCCTCACTCTTACACACATTCCCATACAGACATTGACACATGGACATACCCTCACTCTTACACACATTCCCATGCAGACATTGACACATGAACACACCCTCACTCTTACACACATTCCCGTACAGACATTGACACATGGACATACCCTCACTCTTACACACATTCCCATGCAGACATTGACACATGAACACACCCTCACTCTTACACACATTCCTGTACAGACATTGATTCATGGACATACCCTCACTCTTACACACATTCCCATACAGACATTGATACATGGACACACCCTCACTCTTACACACATTCCCATACAATGACACATGGACACACCCTCACTCTTACACACCCTCCCATACAGACATTGACACATGGACACACCCTCACTCTTACACACATTCCCATACAGACATTGACACATGAACACACCCTCACACTTACACACATTGACACATGGACACACCCTCACACTTACACACCCTCCCCCGCAGACATTGACACACCCTCACACTTACACACACATTCCCACACAGACATTGACACATGGACACACCCTCACTTACACACACCTTCCCGCGAGACATTGACATGGACACACCAAGACACTTACACATTATTCCGTACAGACATTGACATATTGGACACACCTCTCTTACACACATTCCCACAGACATTGATGACATGGACACACCCTCACTCATACACACCCTCCACACAGACATTGGACATGGACATACCCTCACTCTTACATGCATTTCACACATCAGACACATTGTCACATGGGCACAGCCCCACACTTACACACATTCCCATGCAGACATTGATACGTGGGACACACTCATTTTGACAGACATTACACCCTCCCACACAGACATCGATTATCTGACACATGAACACACCCCTCACACTTTACACACATTCACAAACAGAATGTCTGTAACGGGAATGTCTCTAAGAGTGAGGGTGTGTGTCCATGTGTCAATGTCTGTGTGGGAGGGTGTGTAATGTGTCAATGTCTGCATGGGAATGTGTGTAAGAGTGAGGGTATGTCCATGTGTCAATGTCTGTGTGGGAATGTGTGTAAGAGTGAGGGTGTGTCCATGTGTCAATGTCTGTGTGGGAGGGTGTGTAAGAGTGAGGGTGTGTCCATGTGTCATTGTATGGGAATGTTTGTAAGAGTGAGGGTATGTCCATGTGTCAATGTCTGTATGGGAATGTGTGTAAGAATGAGGGTGTGTCCATGTGTCAATGTCTGTATGGGAGGATGTGTAAGAGTGAGGTGTGTGCATGTGTCAATGTCTGCGTGGGAGGGTGTTTTCCTAACCACCACCTCCTTACCACTCCACTTCATTCTTGTCCCCGACTGCCTGTTGGACGTCTTGGAGAACCTTCTCTTGCTCGGCAGGATACTTGGCCAGAGCGTACAGACACCAGCTGATGGCTGATGCAGTAGTGTCATGACCTGAACAAAGACAACAGGTGTCTCATTACAGACAGTCACTGAAGTGATGGAAGGTGACAAACGGGATCGGCTGGTCAGGCTTGCTGACTTGGTTGACACATGTCTTCACATCCCAATTGCGTTGGTCGCTGCTCATGATATTTATCACTGTATTGTCTGGTCCAGATATTTACAGGCCACCGCCATATCGGCGTATGTACGGATACAAAATATGCACAATAGGGTAGGAAATAATTTAGAAAAAGTAGCAGATACTCACCACAGCAGTGCTGTATGGTCTTACTCTTAATGTACTCTTTAAGGTTTCCAGTACTCCTATGTTGAACAAATAATCTAGAGCCCTGATATAAGTGGAATATTGCTGAGTGTGGCGTTAAACAACAAACCAACCAGCGAGCCAACCATTAACTGATAATCATAGTGTACAACTGTCTTTCAGTACTAGGTACATAAGACCTGTTTCCATGAGCAACCTGCACCTTTATATTGTGCAGACAGGAAATGGGCGGTGGGGTAGCCTAGTGGTTAAAGTGTTTGCTTGTCACGCTGAAGACCCGGGTTCGATTCCCCACATGGGTACAATGTGTGAAGCCTATTTCTGGTGTCCCCCCGCCGTGATATTGCTGGAATATTGCTAAAAGCAGCATAAAACTATACTCACTCACTCACTCAGACAGACAGAATGCATCACATTTAGTGTCATGTTTGTACTTGCTCGCACCAGCTGAGAAACCTACATCTCGTGACCTACCTTCAAACATGAATGTGTCAACCTCATCTCTGATCTCCCGGTCAGTCAGGCCTTGACCTTCATCATCTCGAGCTGACAACAAAATGTCCAGGAAGTCCAGGCGACGCTTGTTTAGTAACTCAGGATCTGATTCCTGGAATCAAACGCCATAGTCTACATCAGACTACCGATATTCTGCACTTACTCCAACTAAGTTCACAGTATCACTATGGCAGTACAAATTCAAAGGTAAGACAATACAACCTTGTAACCTTGACTCACCTTGGCTACCTTGGCAACCTTGACTCACCTTGGCTACCTTGGCAACCTTGACTCACCTTGGCTACCTTGGTAACCTTGTGACTCACCTTGGCTACCTTGGTAACCTTGACTCTCCTTGGTAACCTTGACTCACCTTGGTAACCTTGACTCACCTTGGCTACCTTGGTAAACTTGTGACTCACCTTGGCCACCTTGGTAACCTTGACTCTCCTTGGCAACCTTGACTCACCTTGGCTACCTTGGTAACCTTGTGACTCACCTTGGCTACCTTGCTAACCTTGTGACACACCTTGGCTACCTTGACTCACTTTGGCTACCTTGGTAACCTTGACTCACCTTGGCTACCTTGGTAACCTTGACTCACCTTGACAATCTGTGACTGCCATAGTTCCCTCCTACTACAACAGTTACCAACAGGTACGTACATGAGTGTCCATACTGATTCCTACTAAGCTTACCAGTGCCTTTTTCCTGGCCGTAATGATGTCCTCTGAAAACTCGTGAACATATTTACAGAGCTTGGAAAACTCCCTCCCGTTGGCGGAGAGGTTGTAGACAATGGGGATGTAGTGCAGGATGTTCCTACAACAGGGAGGATCATAGTGTGCATGCATATAAATAAAAGCATAAATACATGCACACATCACACAGTAACCCACATAACCTGTTAACAAGCTAATCACAAAGTAACCCACATAGCCTGTTAACAAGCTTATCACAAAGTAACCAACATAGCCTGTTAACAAGCTAATTACAAAGTAACCCACATAGCCTGTTAACAACCTTATCACAAAGTAACCCACATAGCAAGTTAACAAGCTGTACACAAGGTAACCCACATAGCATGTTAACAACCTTATCACAAACTAACCCACATAGCCTGTTAACAAGCTGAACACAAGGTAACCCACATAGCATGTTAACAACCTAATCACAAAGTAACCCACATAGCATGTTAACCACCTAATCACAAAGTAACCCACATAGCCTGTTAACAACCTAATCACAAAGTAACCCACATAGCAAGTTAACAAGCTAAACACAAGGTAACCCACATAGCATGTTAACAAGCTTATCACAAAGTAACCCACATAGCATGTTAACAAGCTGAACACAAGGTAACCCACATAGCATGTTAACAAGCTGAACACAAGGTAACCCACATAGCATGTTAACAAGCTTATCACAAAGTAACCCACATAGCATGTTAACAAGCTTATCACAAAGTAACCCACATAGCAAGTTAACAAGCTGAACACAAGGTAACCCACATAGCATGTTAACAAGCTTATTACAAAGTAACCCTCATAGCATGTTAACAAGCTTATCACAAAGTAACCCACATAGCCTGTTAACAAGCTGAACACAAGGTAACCCACATAGCATGTTAACAAGCTGAACACAAGGTAACCCACATAGCATGTTAACAAGCTTATCACAAAGTAACCCACATAGCATGTTAACAAGCTTATCACAAAGTAACCCACATAGCAAGTTAACAAGCTGAACACAAGGTAACCCACATAGCATGTTAACAAGCTTATTACAAAGTAACCCTCATAGCATGTTAAGAAGCTTATCACAAAGTAACCCACATAGCAAGTTAACAAGCTACTTTGTGATTAGGTTGTTAACATGCTATGTGGCCTACTCAGCTTTTCAACAGTTAGTTATACAGCCATTACCTGCTTAGTTCAGCTTGTTAACATGGTTATGTTAGTTCAGCTTGTTAATGCCATGTATTACCTGTCGTTCAGCTTGTTAACTTGCTATGTGGGTTACTTTGTGATAAGCTTCTTAACATGCCATGAGGGTTACTTTATAATAAGCAGTTAACATGTTATGTAATTTGTGTTCATCTTGTTATCTACTGTGGTTACCCATATTAACTTGTTAACATGCTATGTTGGTTACTTAGGTTCAGCTTGTTAACATGCCAGATGTGGGTTACTTTATGATAGTTAGTTAACATGTTATGTAGTTACCTTGTAGCTAACATGTTATTGAATAACATAGTTGTTACCTGTGTTCAGCTTAACATACTATGGGTAGCTTAGGTTCAGCTTGTTAACATGCATGTGGGTTACCTTGTGTTCAGCTTGTTAACTTACTATGTGGGTTACTTTGTGATAAGCTTCTTAACATGCTATGAGGGTTACTTTGTAATAAGCTTGTTAGCTGAACACAAAGTAACCAACATAGCATGTTAACAAGCTGAACATGGGTAACCAACATAGCAAGTTAACAAGATGAACACAAGGTAACCCACATAGCATGTTAACAAGCTGAACACAAAGTAACCCACATAGCATGTTAACAAGCTGAACACATGGTAACCAACATAGCATGTTAACAAGCTGAACACAAAGTAACCAACATAGCATGTTAACAAGATGAACACAAAGTAACCAACATAGCATGTTAACAAGCTGAATACAGGTAACCCACATAGCATGTTAACAAGATGAACACAAAGTAACCAACATAGCATGTTAACAAGCTGAACACAAAGTAACCAACATAGCATGTTAACAAGCTGAACACAAGGTAACCAACATAGCATGTTAACAAGCTGAACACAGGTAACCAACATAGCATGTTAACAAGCTGAACACAGGTAACCAACATAGCATGTTAACAAGCTGAACACAGGTAACCCACATAGCATGTTAACAAGCTGAACACAGGTAACCAACATACCATGTTAACAAGCTGAACACAGGTAACCAACATACCATGTTAACAAGCTGAACACAGGTAACCAACATACCATGTTAACAAGCTGAACACAGGTAACCAACATACCATGTTAACAAGCTGAACACAGGTAACCAACACCTTAGGTGGTGCTGCGCATTGACCGTGGCGACACGCATTTGTTTAAGCTCTTGGTTTTTACTATTTTCTTGCACTATTCTGGTGCAAATATTGTATTCTGTACTGACTATGTGGTGGAATTACACTAATGAAGAACATGGCAAATTCTGTGGCAGTAATATTGATTGTTTCTATACTTTTCACCAAGTCTACTCAGCGAGATGTCATACTCTCTTCACTCACTCTCAATACGTGTTCTACTGAACTCTTCCTCTTCTGAATTAACACTCACGAATACTGGTGCTCCCCAGGGATAATGTGTATTAGCTCCTGTTCTGTTTACCCTCTACACAAATGACTGTGTAAGTGATAAACTCAATTCCCTCATATTCAAGTTCGCAGACGATGCCGCATTAACAGGACTCCTCAACAGCTCTGAACTAGATTACAGAAACGCAATTGATAGATTCACTTCCTGGTGTAAAGACAACTATCTTGCATTTAATGTCACAAAGACAAAGGAAATGATTATAGACTTTCGAACTAGTAAACAACCTCTAGAACCAGTACTCATCGACGGGAAGGAAGTGCATGTGGTAGAGGAGTACAAATATCTGGGAACTATACTCGACAATAAACTGTCTTGGAAAGCCAATACTCACGCCTTATACTGTAAAGGTCAACAAAGGCTATATTTTCTCCGCAAGCTGCGTTCTTTTAATGTTGACCTGTCATGTTAAACCTATTTTATCAAACTGTTATCCAAAGTGTTATCACATTTTGTTTACAAACATGGTACGATAATCTTCCCCTGAAGCTAAAAAACAAAATCAACTCAATTGCGAAACTTTTTAGTAAAGTTTGCGGTATTCCCCTCAATAACATGACTGCCCTATATGAGTCCCAGGCTGAAAAGAAAGCATCTGCAATTCTGGTTGATACATCCCACTTTTTACATAATCATTTTGAACTACTTCCTTCCGTCCGCCCCTTCAAAATTCCTCTTTACAGAAGTAACAGAACCTCCAAATAATGTGTACCATGCAGCATCAAACTTCTCAATAAGTATTAACATTTTACTCCTCACATGTTTCCTCTTTTTGTATTGCATACATTGCTCTTATGGGCATGAGGCTAACTTTTAAATGTTTAGTATTTATGTTAATAATGTACATCTTAATATTACTTTTGTGTTTTAATACTGTCAGTGCAATATCGTCTGATCTTTAAATGCTCCAGAGTTCTTATGAATGTAAACCAAATTTCCCACGTGGATAATAAAGTCTATCTTATCTTATCTTAACACAGCCTGTTAACCACCTTGTCACAAGGTTACCAACAAAGCCTGTTAACCAGCTAGTCACAAGGTAACCAACAAAGTCTGTTAACCAACTGGACACAAGGTAATCAACATAGTCTGTTAACCAACTGGACACAAGGTAACCAACACAGCCTGTTAACCAACTGGACACAAGGTAACCAACATAGTCTGTTAACCAACTGGACACAAGGTAACCAACACAGCCTGTTAACCAACTGGACACAAGGTAACCAACACAGCCTGTTAACCAACTGGACACAAAGTTACCAACATAATCTGTTCACCCCTGGACACAAGGTAACCAACATAGTCTGTTAACCAACTGGACACAAGGTAACCCACATAGCCTGTTAACCAACTGGACACAAGGTAACCAACATAGTCTGTTAACCAACTGGACACAAGGTAACCAACACAGCCTGTTAACCAACTGGACACAAGGTAACCAACATAGTCTGTTAACCAACTGGACACAAGGTAACCAACATAGCCTGTTAACCAACTGGACACAAGGTTACCAACATATTCTGTTAACCAACTGGACACAAGGTTACCAACACAGCCTGTTAACCAACTGGACACAAGGTAACCAACATAGTCTGTTAACCAACTGGACACAAGGTTACCAACACAGCCTGTTAACCAACTGGACACAAGGTTACCAACACAGCCTGTTAACCAACTGGACACAAGGTAACCAACATAGCCTGTTAACCAACTGGACACAAGGTTACCAACATATTCTGTTTACCAACTGGACACAAGGTTACCAACACAGCCTGTTAACCAACTGGACACAAGGTAACCAACATATTCTGTTAACCAACTGGACACAAGGTTACCAACATAGTCTGTTAACCAACTGGACACAAGGTTACCAACATATTCTGTTAACCAACTGGACACAAGGTTACCAACACAGCCTGTTAACCAACTGGACACAAGGTTACCAACATATTCTGTTAACCAACTGGACACAAGGTTACCAACACAGCCTGTTAACAAACTGGACACAAGGTAACAAGTTTGTGACAAGGCAGACAGCTGGTCCAGCTAACAAGTGACATCGTTAACTGTATGTAATTACTTACATGGCTCTTGCCAGTATCAGGTATGCTATTCTGATCACAGCTTTTACATAAGGATGGCTTTGTCTGGAAAAAAGAGACATTTCAAATTAAAAAGCTTTACAATTCTGTGAGACAGGAAAATAAGAAACAACTTTCCAGGCACCAGTGTTTCATCTTATAGCCTGTGCATTGGCCACTGCCACAATTAGTGTTCATTTATAAATAAATCTAGGTTGAGGGCTTGTAGGCATTTATGTTGATACAGTTATCTTATAGCAAACTGACATTTTAAGTGATACTTCAAGAATAATTTGACACGATACTATATAGTATAATAGTATGTTCTCAGAATATTAGTTTTTAATTGGGGCGGTGGGGTAACCTAGTGGTTAAAGTGTTTGCTTGTCACACTGAAGGCAAAGGTTCGATTCCCCACATGGGTACAATATGTGAAGCCCATTTCTGGCGTCCCCCACAGTGATATTGTTGGAATATTGCTAAAATCAGAGTAAAACTAAAACTCACTTATTCACTCAATAGTTTTGAGACTGGCCTCAAAATTAAAAGCTAAGTCCAGTTTGAGTTTTTTGGTCCTAAAAAGGTCTTCCCCAACCAACTTGAAGAAAACTGTAGCAGAAACTTTCAAAATATGCAGCCAATATGCAGCCTAAATGCAAGTCATTTTGGTTCAGAATTTTGTTTAATAAATGTAAATGCAGGGCTATGAAGCTGACATGCTTTCTATGAGCACCAAGAGTTATTTTTTGTATCATATCTGGACATAAATTTCCACAGTGGCAAGGAAAATAGAGATCAGATATCCATTATTAATTTCACATCAGACTGAAAATTCAGGATGGGCGGTAGATAGGAAACAGAGAAAAAGAGTCAGAAAACAACGTTTACTTTCTTTCCCATGTATGACATGTTGGAACCTCACCCTTGATCCTGGATGTCCTCCTTATAGGACAGAGCACACTGGAGCATGGTGTCCAGGGTAGCTAGGCTTGCAGGGGCAAACACTTCAACAGAGTTACCTCCCTTGCTTGCACTCTCCACTTTTCTCTGAAGACAGAAAATGTTGGTTGTGACATTTTGCAATTGTGTTAATCAGATGCATCGGAGACCAAATATGTGTTTTCAGTCTCTCCATAAAGTAAATTGAGTCAGGCGAGGGAACGCTTCCAAATGTGGAGAACATTATGAAAAAGAAATAGATGAGAATACATACATACTAACATTTATATAGCCGATATCCAGCTCAGCTCAGCTGCTCAAAGGCGCTTTGTTTTTCCCTCGTTCACTGCATGTCAGTCTCAACGGCACATCGTATTGTCAATCTCAACTTCCTGGGGAGCATACAACTCTTGCAACCACAAGGCTTACCGACATATTGTGGCATTCCCATCCTTAGGAGGTACCCATTCACAGCTGGTTGGACTGGGACACATAGTCACAGTACTTTGTCCAAGTTTACTGCACGTTGCTGTACCTGCAACTGGGTGTTTGCACATATTCATGTGGCCACCATCTGGTCATATACCAATGGATTCGTGGGTTCTTTTAAGTGCACAGGGTTGTGTACTGTACACTAGGGGTTGTGACAACACTGAAAGAGTCTGCACACGAAGTTGACTCCAAGGTTTTTACACCCGGTCACAGGTGGGCTCGATTCCGTAACCTCAAGTTCGCTGGATCACTAGCCTGGCGCTTTAGCCAGTTTGCCCACCACGCCCCCTAATGATAAATTAGGTTTATAGAAGATTTAACACTATCTCAAAGCTAGTCTGGTGCTGAGTCGAATAATCTGTCAATAGATCAATCTCGCTTGAGTCAGCAATTATCTATGTGACTAATTGAAGTTCATGAAATATGAAATGTCAAAATAAACTTTAGAAAGTATGTTTCTTATTGTTATGTTTGTTAAATCAAGACATAAGCAACAGATGCAGTTTCCTGACTTGTAGAAGTGCAATGTAAACAACATACCTGTGTGTCTCAACAGGAAGTATCCTTCATCGTAGTATTTTAGTGCCTATTTGTTTTCACAATGTTATGATTGTGTCTGTAATTGCCCACATGAATTTTTTGGATGTGGTTTATGATTACAATCAATTATCCAATTATCGAGCAGCATACTGTGAGCGACACCCAGCAGTATTGAAGTCACATTTACCATGAAAGTCTGGGCGACCTGGTTGTAAACCTTGAGGTACGGTTGTAGAATATCGAAGTGGAAGGCGGGAGTCAGCAGACGACGGTTTCTCTCCCACTTCTTACCATCACTAACCAATAATCCATCACCTGTAACCATGGTAACACATTTGTAAATAATGCTTCTGCATGTGGAACATTCTTTTCAATAAACAAACCTATTTATTTTGGAGCTGTAGCTATATGGGCAAGGTTTTGTAGTTTCACTGACCCGTGAAGGTCTGGATTAGAACTGATCTTCAGTAACCCATGCTTGTTGTAAAAGGCAACTAATGGGATCGGGTGGTCAGGCTCGCTGACATGGTTGACACATGTCATTGTATCCCATTTGTGTAGATTGGTGCTCATGCTGTTGATCACTGGATTGTCTGGTCCGGGCACGATTATTAACAAACCACCGTTATATAGTTAGAATATTGCTGAGTGTGGTGTAAAACCAGACTCACACACTCACTCACTCTAGTTTGAGCATCAAGTTGTATGCCTATGTTGTTGTAACGGGAGAAAAATGTGATAATTCTGTAACCATAGTAACTTGTGTGAAAGTCTCTATGGTTTGCAATTACTATTTATTCAATACATTTCATTAGCTATTGCATGTACACATCTGCATGTGGATCTTGTTTTATTCAATAAAAAGTAGTAGTGAGTGAGTATGCTGTTAGCAATATTCCAGCAATATGACGACGGGGACAACAGAAATGGGCTTCACAAATTGTACCCAAGTGGTGAATCGAACACGGGTCCTCTACGTGATGAGCGAAAGTTTTAACCACTAGGCTACCCCACCGCCCACAAAGATCAGTAGGGTAAACAGCATAATGTGTGAGAATTAGGCATCCAATATATGACCTGGGGGGCATCACTCACCCCATCCTAACAGTGTACACAGCTGGTACCAGCAAATTAGACTGGGATTTCAACACACAACAAACTATGTAAAACAATTGTTTATAACAAACAGGCTTCTAACAACCAGACAATATAAGAAACAGTTCTTGGGGTCCCTGCAAAATGCTATATACTTTAATAATTCAAAATGCATTAAGTGAGTGAGTTTAGTTTTACTCCGCTTTTAGCAATATTCCAGCAATGCCCCAGTGGGGACACAGGGAAAGGACTTCACACATTGTACCCATGTTCAGCGTTCAAAATAATCACTGACCCGGAGGCCCAATGCCGGTTGTTATTGTATCGGGCCGGCAGTTTCAAATATTTGCAGGCTCTTGTGGCCTTCAGTAAATCATCTGTTAATTTTATTTTTTTCTTAACTGGAATCTTTCCCATAATTGTTTTCTTTATTAACGTTCGAGAATCATCCATGATCCATCATGTTACGATAGCTTACAGCTTCACTTCCTGGTAGTTCAGCGCTTTGCGCATAGGAATGTCAACACCAGTCTTTAACAAATAAACCTTGTCGCCATATACGTCGCTAATTGATTTTGTAGAAACAGTGTGAAACTGTACAATGTAGTCTATTTTGTTTTTATTGGTTTGACTTTAACAAAATGGGCCTGCAGATTTCATTCTGGGCCTCTAGATCTTAAAGCCTGCAGGCAGCAGCAGGCCCAACTGGCAAATTAAAGTATTGCAAACACTGCCCATGTTGGGTATCAAACCTGGTGTTAGTCATGATGAGCAAATGCTTTAACCACTAGGCTAACCCACTGCCCCCTAAATGCATTTAACATACTTAGGTTATAACGAACTAAAATGCAGGATACTCTGAGTTTGATATAACCATTGTTTACAATATATTGCATGATTTCAAGTTCATAAACTTAGGGTTCAATATGTTATATATTTGTCACTCATTGCAATATTAAAAAGACAAAAATACAAATCTTAACGCTGAAATATTGGCAACGGGCCAATCATTTTTTCCTCCAATTCACACAAAGAGAGTGATATGATCTCACATTGACATGGACTGCATTTCAGCTAAATACCGGCACATCAGCTGAATGTGAGAAGGTTGATTTTTACCATTTAGTGAAAGGTGAGGTGCTTACAGTGTCACACAAAGATCTCTATAGGAAAAATGTTAACAGCGTTGCACAAATGAGGCGACAGTAACATACCATCTTCAATTACCAAACATCACACCAATTATGACCAATGTGAATTTTGATATTGACAGTTTGTCCGGTGCTAGTGAAGTGTGATGTGGGCTAGCAACATTTTAACTTAACTGGCCCTCCTGGCCAGTAACTTTTCAAAATTAGTTCATACACAGTCTTGAACAACATTTCAGTTACATCAGGGTACTTCCACAAGATGTGGGATGAGAGACCGGAAACATGCAGCTTGTAGATGTTACCAATTAGATCAGACATACAAGCACAGTTAGGTTCTGAAAAAACAAGGATCTTAACAGTGTTTAAAACTCCGAAATTCCAAGCCAGACAGCCGGTCTGGTAACTTTAAAAAATTACCAGTCCAGATACAAACTTGCCTGTCCAGTTTTCAACAACAAAAAAGCCAAAATAAAAGTTTCTTAATACTTTACTGTATGTATTGTAACGTTAAGGCTGAGGTACATGGCCTGGTTTACAAACTAGAAATCTGTTGCATTTTCTGCCTCACAATCAAGATCTGAGAAATAAATATCTACCAGACCACCGGACAGGCTACTATTGAAATTTGACCGTCCGAGATGAAAATAGACCGTTACGGATAGTTGAGCAGGCAGGAATTTTAAACGCTGATCTTAATCAAGGACAATCGTTGGATCCTTGCATGACTGAGGGAAGTAACTCTGTACAGCTTACTGCAGTGCCTCAAAACACTGTTCCCCTTGTTTCCATTAAAGGGAGATGTCATTATTATTCTCACCTAGCCATGGCAACAAGAAATCATATGATCCGCCACTCTTGGCCTTTGGTTCCGACGTCTTCAGAATGGCCCTGACACTCTCCGGGTGGGCTACAACTACCATAGGTCTGAAGAACCCAATCCAGAACATGTACGCTTGAGATCCATCTTTCAAAAATACCATGGAGTCTTCAATAAAGGCCTGAAAACTTTTAATCTGTAAAATACACAAATAACAAACTATATGCTTGCAGCTACAGTAAGAGATTACTAGCACTACATAATGTAAAACACTTATCTGGGGCTATACATAATGTAAAACACTTATCTGGGGCTCTACATAATGTAAAACACTTATCTGGGGCTCTACATAATGTAAAACACTTATCTGGGGCTCTACATAATGTAAAACACTTATCTGGGCTCTACATAATGTAAAACACTTATCTGGGGCTCTACATAATGTAAAACACTTATCTGGGGCTCTACATAATGTAAAACACTTATCTGGGGCTCTACATAATGTAAAACACTTATCTGGGGCTCTACATAATGTAAAAACATTTAAAAATAATGTAAAACACTTATCTGGGGCTCTACATAATGTAAAACACTTATCTGGGGCTCTACATAATGTAAAACACTTATCTGGGGCTCTACATAATGTAAAACACTTATCTGGGGCTCTACATAATGTAAAACACTTATCTGGGGCTCTACATAATGTAAAACACTTATCTGGGGCTCTAATAATGTAAAACACTTATCTGGGGCTCTACATAATGTAAAACACTTATCTGGGGCTCTAAATAATGTAAAACACTTATCTGGGGCTCTACATAATGTAAAACACTTATCTGGGGCTCTACATAATGTAAAACACTTATCTGGGGCTCTAAATAATGTAAAACACTTATCTGGGGCTCTAAATAATGTAAAACACTTATCTGGGGCTCTATATAATGTAAAACACTTATCTGGGGCTCTAAATAATGTAAAACACTTATCTGGGGCTCTATATAATGTAAAATCTAAAATACAGTATTTGCCATATTAAGTGCCCTGTTCCATGAAACACACCGAGTTCAAGGTTAAGTGTGATTTCCTATCTCGTTCCCAGCAACATATGCACTATCTGAAGAAGCAACCTGGTGGACTGAATCAGTGCTCAATGGATTGTTTGATCCAAATACGATTACTTGCAACCTATCATTACAAAGCTGGAATATTGCTCAATGTGGTGTCAAAAAGTATTATTTGTTACTAGTAACATATAATATTTTCTGTTTTCTTTTAATGTCACAATTACAGATTAGCAGGTTTTGCTGACTACTAATTTCAAACAATGTGATGAGAGAGTAAAGGGTCAATATCACATTTGCTTGTGAGTGAGTGAGTGAGTTCTTACGCCGCTTTTAACAATATTCCAGCAATATCACGGCTACGGACACCAGAAATGGGTTTCACACATTGTACGTATGTGGGGAATCGAACCTGGTTCTTCAGCATGACGAACAAACGCTTAACCACACGGCTACACCACCCCTACATTTGATTATGAGTTATAATGACCATCACATTACTTTTAAGAACAATAACATGTTAAATGCCATTTTTCTGCAAACTGAACCAAAGTTCAGAATATGCCCAGGGTATTCAGCAAGTATAATTTCATGCTGTTTTTAGCAATATTCCAGCAACATCATGGCTGGGGAAATGGGTTACACCCATGTGGGGAATCAAACTCAGGTGTTCGGAGTGACGATACTTTTTGACAACCGATCCATATTTGGATGCTTCCAAAGTTGGAGTTTTGTTTCCCAATAGTGCCTGTAAAGATCTGGGTTGGAATTGTCTTCAGCAACCCATACTTGTCATAAGACTAACACCTGGCTCACCAACAGTAATTGTTGACTATGTATCCAAATTGTGCAAATCGATGGTTATGCTGTTGATCACTTGATTGTCTGGTCCAGGGCCTAGATTTTCGAAGCTCTCTTAGCGCTAAGATAGTCGTAATTTAAGTTAAAGGGCCACTGATCCAGAGCAATTTCCGTGGACTGGTTGTTGCTTTTGTTATTGTTTTTCTCCAGTGAGTACCCGGATGATATCCCAGAATTCATGACTGGTTCGTTACCTCTGCTGCCTCTCCCTCATGCGCAATTGATATTATAGGTATAGACTGATCAACAAAGATGAAATCTTTTTTACTCGATAATCTTATATGTTGATTTTGTGAAAATTATGTAGACTTTGATGAATAATTTGGTTTCTTATATAAAATATTCACTTTGATAAAAATGCTGATTTTGATGTAAAGTTTTGATTTCATAGTAATGTTGACTTTATGAAAGTGTTAACGTAAATATGGATGTAGAATTTGATTTAAGAAATAGTTTGACCTTGAAGTTGGTGAGAAGCCTGATACAATAGCATTGTGTTGAAAGTAAGGCTAACTAAGTACATGGGGAGTCTTGGGGAGAGTAGTGAGCTTGGGTTCACTTCTAGTCAATCTGAGTGCTGTATTAAATGGCATTATTTTTATAACAAATAAAAACATTTTAAGTTTAACCAACTGCCAGTGGTAAAAACTGTTAGGACTGAAATAACTAAGTCAATGTACGTCTTTATATTTTGTCTCATAATCCTAATTAGTTCATTATCATATTTGTATGCATTTTGAAACTTAATCAAGTGCACACTCCTCTCGACCCTCAACTCTAAGTCTGCACGTACTGCGTTACGTTATAAATTAGGACTTGCCCTGTGGACTTCCCGAGAGCCTCGATACTGATAGAGCATGGCGGCTCTCAGCTACGTGTGGACCTGCTACATACCTGTTTCAGATTTCCCCACAGCCAGTGAATGGGGTAATGTGGAAACTTGTCATCCAGCGCCGTGTGCCATTTCTGTAGTTTCCTGCGAAGAGGAAGTACTTTGAAGACGAAGACGCTGATCACCAGTGCAATCAAGAACACCGCAATAACTCCAAACGCTATCATTGTTGCATGTATACAGTGTCAACGTGTTGGTCTTCCGCCAGCGTTTAGTGTCCAGTATGAATATGACAGCGTGTTATTTCTAACTATCAATCATACCCCTAACTTAAATTTGTTACCAAAAGAGCTGGCCTTCCAGTTGCTCCAGTTGCACAAAGCGCGCTATCAATGAGGCTCTACACTGATGGTGCACACGGAGCATCTTTTCGTATTGTGGGGCTGGAAAATCACGACAACACTCCTATTCCAAACACTCCTATCTCAAACACTGTCTTTGATGTCAAATGTTATATCAACGTGCAGCAGTGCTTTTATTAATATTGCCTGAAAACTAAATCTCATTACAATTCGCGGAAGACCCGGGTTCGAATGGGTACAATGAGTGAAGCCCATTTCTGGTGTCCCCCGCCGTGATATTGCTGGAATATTGCTAAAAGCGGCGTAAAACCAAACTCAGTCAGTCAGTCAGTCATTACAATTCATTTCATCATGTTTCATCAATATCATTATATGTTAAATGCTCATTTATGTAGCCTTGTCAACAAGGATTTCCCTTCACTTCCTTTCTATTCTTAGCCAGATAACCCATTCTTTGGGATTTTTCCTTTCCTATTTATAGGTCACATCAAAAGACTTCCTTTGATGTGTTACCTACTTAATAATTGACTATTGTGTCCTCTGACCTTACTTCCTTTGGCCACCTGTTTTCCACCTCACTTTACTTGCTGTTGCTGAGCTGGAAACATCTTTTCCCTTCTCAGGTATGGCCATTTTTCTAATCTGTTTCCATCTGCCTCTTTACTTTATAAATCCCTATTAAAAAGGTGCAAAATGTTATTGCAATAATAATATACTGAGTCAAAAAAAGAAACTTCACAAAATGTAATTTGAAAAATAATGAATAATTTTTCTCTGATGATACATCTATGTATCAGAAATGGGATCCCTATCTTTCGACTCTAGAAAAACGTTAGCAAAACCCACTCAAACCCATCCATTCGTCGTGCAAATGACGTTAGTGCCAAATCAGGTTTTGCATGTGCAGTCGATCACGTGAACTTCGCATCGAAGTTTTCTTCATATGCACGTGTTTGCATTGGCCTCAAGAATTGAAAAAACATTTTTAAACCACAGTTCTAACGGTACTTGAAATGCCACGATTGTCAAATGTGCAACGTGAACGTGCCGTTGGCATGTTGCAAGCGGGAAGATCAGTTATTGACGTGCAATGGGATGCAGCCGTCGTACTGTGTATGACTTTGCGAGGTCGTCTACAACAAACTGGCACCACTTCTGATCGCCCAAGGTCGGGTCGTCAATGGCGAGGGTATTCATGAGGGTATGCATATGTAGTGGCATTGGCTTTGTCAGCAGGCATCCAGTATGAGGCCTACAAATCCGAATGGGAATGTTACATTCTGCTTGCGTGTAGTATGGGCACCATTCATGCTGCATGCATGTGGTATGGCATTGGCATCTCATAGTAACTCCCCTTTTTGTGGCACTGGTTTTCTGAGTATTCATCCAGTATGGGCACCGCAAATGCGTATGTAGCATGCATGGAGAATGACGAGGGTATTCATGAGGGGATGCATATGGAGTGGTATTGGCTTTGTCAGCAGTTTAATATTTATGCATTCAATCTCCATGTCACTCTTTTTTATAGACTCATCGGAAGAGGTGGACAAGCCGTCGGTAGCGGCTGCTACGAAAACTGATCCTGAAGGTAGGTTTGTTCCATCTCAATTTAACATCCATAGTCAGGCACTACGCACTACAGCATGTAATGTGTGGTATTGGCATAGATAGCTTTAACAATGGGCCATTTTCAATCTTTTAAGCCATTCTCTCAATGTATAATGTACCCCTGCCCTTGTATCAATAGTAAACTTCCTAATTGTAATGGCCCATGTTTTATTCTAATGTGCAAAATTGGCCCATGACCTCTGCCTTTCCCAAACCCTGTGTAACCACATGTATACCTGCATGTTGCTTGCCCTAGTACATGTTATCCTGGGGTATGCAAATCCTCATGGGTATGTCAAATTCCGCATGCATGCAGGATGGTGAGCATTAATTATGGATGTATGTGGGTGGCACTGGTTTTATGAGTATTCATCCAGTATGGGCACTGCAAATGCGTATGGGTATGCCATATTTCGCATGCATGGAGAATGGCGAGGGTATTCATGAGGGGATGCATATGGAGTGGCATTGGCTTTGTGAGCATGCATCCAAGATAAGGCCTACAAATACGAATGGGTATGTTACATTCTGCATGCGTGTAGTATGGTTACCATTCAATCTCTATGTCACTCTTTTTTATAGACTCATCGGAAGAGGTGCACAAGCCGTCGGTAGCGGCTGCTACGAAAACTTATCGTAAAGGTAGGTTTGTTCCATCTCAATTTACCATCCATAGTCAGGCACTACGCACTACAACATGTAAATTCAGGTATTTACATACATCCCTGATGGCAATGTTTGTTGGGCCAACATTGGCCAACGTAGGCCCAATCATGGCCAGTGTTGGTGCAACATTGGAGCAACGCACATTGCTATCTGGGATAGCTTTAACAATGGGCCATGTTCAATCTTTTAAGCCATTTTCTCAATTTCTAATGTACCACTGTCCTTGCATCAGTAGTAAACTTCCAAATTGTAACGGCCCATGTTTTATTCTAATGTGCAAAATTGGCCCATGCCCCCTGCCTTTGCCAAACTCTGTGTAACAACATGTATCCAGTATGTGGCTTGCCCTCGTGCATGTTATCCTGGGGTCTACAAATCCTAATGGTAATCTTACATTCCGTATGCAACCAGAATGGGGCATTATTCATCACGGATGCATCTGGGTGGCACTGGCTTTCACAGCATCCATTCAGTATGCACCCTGCAAATCCGAATGGGTATGCCACGTGTCGTATTGCCGCAGTATGGCTAGGGCTAGGGCATTAATGAGGGGCATGCATATGTAGTGGCATTGTATTCGTCAGCATGCATCCAGGATGGGGCCTACAAATCCGCCTGGGTATGTTACATTCTGCATGCGTGTAGTATGGGTATCATTCATGGTGCATGCATGTGGGACTGCATTGGTACCTGATAGTAACCCCCCTTTTTGTGTGCAATGTTTCTCATTGTTCTGCACAGTTTAATATTTATGCATTCAATATCCATGTGACTCTTTTTTATAGACTCATTACGCTCATCAGATGGCGCATGGAAAGGCCTACGTTACCCGAAGGACTTGGTCCTGGTTTTCCCGAAAAATGGTCCTAAATGTAAGTTTGTTTCATCACAATTTACCATCTATAGTAAGTCACTACATCATGCCATCCACATGTATCACGTATGCTCTTAATGCATGTGCATGTATTTACATGCTTTCGCATACACCAGCAAGTTTCTGTTCAGTCTTTCCTACAGATTGGCACTTCATAGTAACGCCCCTTTTTGTGTCCAATTTCTCTTATTGTTCTGCACAGTGTAATATTTATGCATTCAATCTCAATGTCACTCTTTTTTCTACACTCATAAGATGGCGCAAAAACAGATTGCCCGAAGCCCTCGGCTGCTACCATAACTGATCCTTAAGGTAGGTTTGTTTCCTCACAATTTACCATACATAGTCAGGCACTACGCACTACAACATGTTAATTCAGGTATTTACATACATAGCTTTAACAATGGGCCATGTTCAATATTTTAAGCCATTTTCTCAATTTATATTGTATTACTGCCCTTGTATCAGTAGTAAACTTTAAAATTTTAACGGCCCATGTTTTATTCTAATGTGCAAAATGGCCCATGGCCCCTGCCTTTCCCAATCCCTGTGTGACCACATGTATCCTGTATGTTGCTTGCAGGCGTACATGTTATCCTGGGGTATGCAAATCCGTATGGCTATTTGACATTCCGTATGCATGCAGTATATATTGTAGTGTGTCACGTTATTCCCTCTGTGTCTAGATAGATACAGTTTCCTCTCTAATTATCTGTGTTTCTCGTATGCCAATCGTGTTGCTCAATGCATATGCAATGTTATCCGTCTCGTCTCTTCCTACGTATGCAGTATATAATGTTCGTGTATGCTTATGCGTTCAGTATGGCGTTATTCGAGCTGAATGTATAATATAAGGGTAATGCTATTTTTGAGGGCATTATCATTTGCAGAAGCCCGAGGTCTTCCATTAACTGCCCGACGAAGGAGGGCAGTTGAAAAAGACCGAGGGCTTCTGCAAATGATAATGCCCTCAAAAAAATAGCATTACCGCTATTATTGCTAAAATACATGGAATTTGTGTTGAAAAGAAAAGGAAACAATGAAGGAATTTGACTGTAAGTTTACCAAAATCAACTTCTGACGGGCCTGACTGCCCGAATGCAATTACGTCATCGAACAATTCAAGTGACGTCACAACAGAAAGTGACGATATTCGACCTTGGCCTTTGACAAGACCATAGCCTGCAGCATGTCAAACTATGACAGTGTTCGGTTTTGGTCCATCAACAGTCTTAATAGTGCAATTGTTAAGGTTAGCACCAGCAAGAAAGCCAATATTACCGCTATTTGAAGCGGGGAATTTGGGTTGCTTTGACTTGTTTGACCCAGAATATCTGCCAGTCGAAAGCAAATTAATGTCGAACTATGACGTCACTTGACAACAGAACTGATAGTGGCCCGTCGTTAAGGTTGAGCGGTCCAATATCATTTGCAGCGGACCGCAAATTTCTGATAATGGGAGGGCCGTTTCATGAATGTATCAACATCTGTGGTGAACATTATTCACGCATTTAATTGTTTCCTGAATCAAAGTACTGTATAAAATTGTAGCTTGATTAGGCCCCATACTGGATGCATCCGCCATGTAGTATACCCATTCGGATTTGTAGGCCCGATGCTGGATGCATCCTCATACTCAAATGCCAACCCACATTCATCCAGAAACAATCCTCATCATCCTGGATGCATCCGTCACGTAGGATAGCCATCCGTATTTGTAGGCCCCGTCCTGTATGCATCCGCCATGAAATATAACCATACGGATTTGTAGGCCCCATCCTGGATGCATCCTCATACTTAAATGCCAACCCACATTCATCCAGAAGCAATCCTCATCTTATTTGTATGAATCTTACAAGCACATTATTACGTCAAACCTATGGAATCACATATTTACTATCCTATGAAATGAAGTAACCAAAACAGAAAGCAATAGTGGTATGTTCTTTTACGTCATTGCTCATAGGGTATAAACCAGTTTTCTCATGCAACCATTAGTTTTAAGTTAATTTATGTTCATTGCATATTCTCGTGAGGCACAACATTCCACCCCACCCCGTGGTAAGTTAATAATTCACCCTCACTAATTACATACTTAATTGAGTCTGTGCCACACAAACTTAGTTGTGAATAGTAATTCTCTGTAATGTATTAGATACCTATGTGTGCTAATGGAAATAGAGTTATCAGCGTTTGTAATCACCATATCTATTCCAGGCAAGTCCCCACCTGCACAGAAACCCTGAACGTGTCATCCACCGATGAGGCAACGTCCCCCTAAATCTAACCGGTGATGGTGGGGTAGCCTAGTGGTTAAAGCGGGCACAATGTTTTAAGCCCATTTCATGTTTTCATCCTCAATGCATCCTGCACGTAGAATGGCCATCCGTATTTTGGATGCATCCTCATATTGAAACTATGCCCATCCGGATTTGTAGGGCCCATCCTTGATGCATCCAGCATGTAGAATAGCCATCCGTATTTATAGTATCCAAGCTGAAATGTAATATGACACAGGGTTCGCAGGGTGTTATAATCCGTCTTTTAATTTTTTTATATAGTACTTCATCTGTAAGCATGGACGCCTTCACCACAAGTAACAACTGTGAAGAATTGGAAGATTTTGTAAGCGTTTACCTTGAAAATGCCAACGCCTTTTTTGAATAAGTATCAAGAACATGACAGTGTTGGCTCCTTTCTTGCCCGTAGTAATGACGGCTACATTCCTGCCAGAAGTGTTAAAGTGTCCGAAATGGAGTCTGATGTGTACCTTAACTTTGAATCGGATATTGATGGCATTGTGATTGAATGGAAAACAGTCGCAGCATTAAATCATCCCGTGCGTTATCTAAATCTTCTGCCTCGTGACGAAGCAAGCATCAGGCCTATTGCATCCATGCTGAAGAAGCATGTACCTCTTACTCATTATCGTGCTCATGACCTTCAAAATTTCAAGCATTCAGTAGGAATTCGACTGTTTTATGAATACGGATGGGAATATTGGCTGGGCATAATACCAAATGGAAGCAACTCCCCAATGAGTGCTACGGATGTGCGACAAAAGTCATCTCAGTGTCTGTTTAGCCTGCGTCGGCAATTTGAGAGGCAGCTTCAGAAGGCATCTACTTTAGGTATTGCGTCTAACACTCTAAGAAAAAATAACCGTAAAAACACACGCTACTTTTCCATACTGCCTGATGATTGTCATCCTATTTTACAACTGCTTCAGACAGCTATTGACAATGTTGAAATTCACCATTCTCTTAAAACAATATGTTTTTCTTTTCGATTTGGTGAGAAAAGTGCACTTCCCATCAAAGTTCCAGCGTGTGACGTTTCGGCAGTGAGGTGTCTAAGTATACATGCTGCAGTCAATATCCAGGCAAATTTCGGTATTGCACTCATGTGGTCCCGATGTGGGTTACAGCAGTTGGTTGGTGAAAGGGGCACACTAACAAGTGTCATGTCCTTTACCGAATGTGCCAATTTTCAGAGTAATCTTGATGCACGTGCACTGGACGTGAAGCCCGAACTATACACTGTCTTGAAAGCATCTGGTGATTTACGCTTTATTCAAATGTACGTTGACACTCCTCACAGGTATCCGAAGACAACATTCCATCCCGTTTCAGGATCTGTTCTTGGCAGTTCTGTTTTCCATGGTAATGCATTAGCTTCCATGAAAAAAAATGCTGAAACCTATATTTCTGAAATGGAAAATAACTTTGAACTCTTAAGAAATTGCGTGTGTAGGCTTGAAGTTGTAGTTGCCATAGACACTCCCCCTGTGGAAGTCATTGCTACCGATTATTTGAATGTGTATGGTGTGAAGCAACTGTTATCACAAAATGCACTTCTTGTACCGTATGCTGACAGGGAACGCCTCTTTGTACCTTATCTTAAACACATCGGCTTAGCTTTAGTGGAGGAGCTGAAACACATCTATCTTGGCCATGCATCCACGTGCAACAGCACCTCATTTTGGAAAGCGTTTCAGTGTGAACTTGCTTTGGAAAAGATGTTATGGGGTCGTCCATTGTGCTGGAGAAGCCATGTGTGGTCCATCAATTTAGGGCCTGGGGTGGCATTCCCTAGCAGGTGTAAAACTGACCAGTTGGGATTTCTTTCCCTCGATCATTGTACAACTTCGCTTGAACATGAAGAATCGCACCCACCTCTTGCAATCTGGACCCATTCGTTCATTTATCAGAGAGCCATACAGCAGTTATTTGGTTTTCACGATTACCTCCATGGCTGCCAAACTGTGGTTGGGCGAAGGCTGCTGTTCATCCTTTTAAACGATTTGTACCACACGGGACGACCACCTTCCTTGTTTGCAGATTTCCTGCTTGGTTTGAAGGTTGGCACAAAAAAAAGAAGTACCCAAGTATGTGGCACCATAACTGTGAATGAACTGTGCGCGTTGTTGTGTAAAACCAGGGACAGAAATGTTCATCACATGGCCTTTCCCGCCGCACTTGCTATGGTAAAGAGTGCCTATGAAAATGCTGAGCATGTCCTATGTCTTGGCTTTGCCGAACTAGAGTTGGGCTATTTTCCTGCTGTCCGGTGTGTTGACAATCACCAAAATGCATCCTTATCATGGAAACATTTATTCAAATATTGGACAATATCGCTTCTCAGCCAGCAGAAGGTCGATCTTGAGTCAAGAGCTATTGAACTCACTTCCATTGTCAAAACACAATTACACCTTAGTAAGCTCATGTTTTCCTCAGTACTGCACAAAGTTGAAGCTTGTCCGTTGCCTTGGATATCTTCGTGCCTCACAAAGTTGCAAGGAGAACGTCTCACTCAGCAGCAGATAGTAATCTGTCTTACATTTATTAGTGCAGTTGCCTTTCTACAGCAAGGTTTTTATGTTGACTATGTGAAGCTGGTGCGCGTGGCCGATGATCTTCCTGTGCCCATGTCGACTGAAGAGACTGGAAATTCAGTCCAAGCTTCACCTATCTTCAGTGAACGTTGGCAAAATATTTCGCCTACATCCTACCATTCCTAATTCCTTACCCTTTGAAAAACAGTCCTGTTCCACAACGTGTGCACAGCAGAACCGTTCAAGTAACGACACCTATAGTGACCTTGGTCACCACAGCATGGAACATAGTATTGACCCAGATAGTAACTTGTTTGAAGAAGTCAACACTGTTCGTATCGAATCCAGACACAAACCTGCTTGCACCAACACACGTTGGAGTTCCCAGGAGCTTGAAGTTGTGTATGGAATAAAAAGTCACTTTGCAACACTGCCTTTGAGAGAACAATATGTAAAATATCAATCGGAGTGTAGATCCCGAGGCCTCTCTGACAGACATATTCTGGCCTTTAAGGCTAAATACTACCGAGTGTGACTGTATTCTTTCACATACAATCGGGTCCTTCGTGGTAAATCAGTGTCTTCTTCCTTGCAGATCCACGTTTTGCAGCATCACTGTCAGTGCGTAAGTTACATTTGAAAGAACCATGTTTTTTCACTTGTAATGTATGACTTTGTACAAGCCGTCCATGTACAGCAATTCATTCGATTGCACTTGCAGTGGGTAACAATATTGTACTCTCACGAGCAGTATCATCCATCATCTTCCGACTATTCTTCTACGAACAGCACTGTTCCTCTGTCCTGACAGATTCAGCAATGTATTGCTGTTTGCCACTTTTACAATGAATATTTTGTTCATGTTGGCCATGTTGGTCTTTATGCTGTGTGTGAAGCCCATTATTGTTTTAAATGAGGTCTATTCTTGTTTTGCCTTTACACTTAGGGTTAATGTTACTAAGTATTGAAACAACAAATGACACTGCTTTCCGACTAACATATGGTTAGTGTTAGGTTAGGGCTAGGGTTAGCCAATTAGTTTTGTTTGGTGTACATGCGTTACTTATGCTATTTTTATGCCCCCGCCATCTACCTGTCTTTTGTAGGGACTCTAAAGGTGTGCATTTCATTATTTTGTATGCAATTTCTTAATTTTGTCACTTTTACATATGTTTGAACTTAGTTGAATGTCGTTCTATTTAGCCAGTGTTCGTTCCATCCAACAGGGATGTTTATATTACACATGTGCTTTATAGGTACTTCTTAGTAAATCAATGGTGAAATTAGTTATTCATTAGAATACAAAGTAATACTTCATATATCGGTCATTTTCCAAATTAGTAGTATTTTCAGTTCTCTATTACAGTAAAGTCAAGTCCTCACAATTCATTTAATGTTATTAAAATAAAATCTCAAACTCGTCATTGTTCAAAAGTACAAACATGCAGGCTCAAATGTACTAATTCACCTTTAAATTTATACATGAGAAATTTACCCGTGAACATCCGGTATAGAATAGGTCTTCAGCAACCCATGTGCTTGCCATAAAAGGCGACTATGCTTGCGACTATGCTTACATCCATATATAATGCAAATATTCCTGTTACTATTTGCCGATGATATCATATTGTTTTCAAGCACAATTAAAGGCCTACAAATATAAATTATTGAACTAAATAAGTATTGTGATAAATGGAAACTAACTGTAAACCAGGCTAAAACAAAGATAGTTGTTTGTAAAAATGGAGGTAAGCTATAATTAAAAATGCTTCTTCAAGTGAAATACACTGGAAACAACCACTTCGCATAAATACTTAGGCGTACATTTTACCAATCATCTTTCATGGGCATTACACACATCACAGGCAGCTATACAAGCAAAGAAAATATTACTAGGTATAATAAAGTATATACTTATTTTAGGCGACTTATCTAAGGGAAGCAACTCTAGTCAAGCTGAAGAGTCATAAAAAGTATACAATGTTTCCACCCTATTTTCTGTGTACTTGAGTTTTCAAATTTTAGTATGTGGTAGAGTAGGGCAAAAATAAAGGAACACTTGTGCTTTCATGTGATCCCTAATTTCTTTCCCTCAGTATATATTCTTTAAGTCTCACTAAGGGTTATTGTCTTTCGCTCCATCGTCATTGGCTAGTTCGTTTCATTTAATTGTTCCATTCATTTTATTGTGTGCGAACATGAGCAATGTAGTAGCAACGTGACGTAATATGAATGTGACGTCATCAAGGATTTCATGACGTCACACATGATTTTATAATGTGCATTTCCATAAACAGTGAGTGAGTTAAGATTTAAAGTCACATCGGCAATATTTCAGCCATATCGTGACTAAAACTAGTTCTAAATTTGTAATACATACATATAATATATAAAACCCTGTCATCGAAGGACAGTAAAACCACTAGATTATCACAGATTGAGTTAAAACTAGCTAGCATATATCTTTAAAAGTAGAAAATTATTTCTGGACAATACAATGTAAAATTGGGCTATAGATCGCCAACAACTGAAGGTAGATCACCATACTAAGGACCATGGGGACTTACAGTGCCTTTGCTACCTGCATGGACCCTAAATGGATTTACACCATCCCTTCAGCTGCTGGCGATTGTAGGACAAGTTTAGCCGAAATTTAATATACTACGTTCTAATGCTAGCTTTGTAATCAGAGTATGGAATAAGAAGTGGTGTCACAGCTTTATTGAGTGCTGCCTTAGCAGCAAGATCAGCCATTGTATTCCCAGAAATGCCAACGTGGCTGGGTAACCAACAAAAGACGACGTCGCATTGGCCAGTAGCAAGCTCATTATACAATTCAATCATTTCTATTAAATGGATGTTTACAAGAAATTTTTTTAATAGCCTCAAGACACGAAAGAGAATCGGAAAAGATGATGTATTGTTTATATTTACGGTGTTTATTAATATATTTAAGAGCTGTTAATATGGCGTTAGCTTCTGCTGTGAAATTAGTGCTGTTTTTTGGTAGTCG